CCCCACCCCCACCAACCTCCGCCCCCACAGCATCCAGCTCCAACCGCCTCGCCGGCTCCACCGCATCCAACTCCTGCGGCGGCGGCGGCGACGACGACGCATCCGCCGCCCCGGCCGCCCCCGCCATCTTCTTGTCCCCCCCGCCCTGCCACCCCCACCCGCCCGTCGCCGCAGGGTCACCCGCCCACCCCGACTCGTCCGCCGGCTTCTCAAACACCTCCGCCGTGTGGCTGGGCAGTTCGGAGAGCGGGGGCCGCATCTGCCCCTGTTGCTGCTGCTGCTGTTGTTCCTGCAGCATCGGCTGTCGCGACTTCTCGTCGAGGTGGTGAGCGGCGCCGGCGGCGTCGGCGGGCATGTTGTCGCGGGTGGGCTGTAGGTCGCCGCGGCGATGGCGCCGGCGCTGGCGACGCTGCGACGCGCGGCAGCAGAAGAACCAGAGGGCGAGGCCGGCGAGGAGGGAGGAGCCGGCGAGGGAGCCGACGACGATGCCGGCGATGGCGCCGGGGGAGAGGGTGGAGGCGGAGGAGTGGTGGGTGGAGGGGGAAGAGGAAGAGGTGGCGGAGGGTGGGGGCGGGTGGAACATGGTGTAGATGGCGGGGGAGTCGAAGCCGTGGGCTGGGGTGGTCATGGTTGCGGCGCCGGTGGGGCTGGGGGGCTGGTTAGTTTTGTTGGGTGGGCGGGGGGCTGCGGTGGCGTTTGGCTGGTTTGAAGGGGAGGGTGGGGAGGAGGGGATGAGGAGGTTCAGTGGGAGGGGATGATGTATCTGGAAGAGCTGAGGGGGAGGGGGAGGGGGTTGTTTCTATTCGTCACTTACCTCCCGCCTATCTTCTTTACCACCGCCGTCGGTACCAGGAAATTCTTGGCCTGGTCCGCATCGTAAAACGTCCCCCACGTCCCCTCGTTCATGTCGAACAGCCGCACCCCCGCGCCGCCGTTGCCGATCCCGCCGTCGTCGCAGGTCGTCTGGCTGAGGTCTGGGATGTCGCCCGTGGTTTCGACACCAAGGAGGGAAGCGTCGCGCGCGCCGCCTGTCGCGAGCATTTGGTACTTGCCGGCGCTGTTGCAGGTGTGGCCAAAGTACCCGGGGGAGGAGGTGTTGGTGGACGAGCCGTTGGAGACGAGGGTCCAGGTGAAGCTTGGGAAGGAAAGCACATGGACGTCGTCGTAGATCTTACCAGTGGACGGGTCGATGCCGCCGTGGATGTAGCTGAAGCGGTGTTGTCAGTATTGAATGATAAATTAAAAGAAATAGTAACCAAAATAATAATGCGGTACTCAAAACGTGAACGAGAAGAACACAAGGATGGGTAGAAGACCAAAACGTACAAGTTGTAACTCGAGTTGTCACTCGGCGATTTCTGGCCTGGACAGGTGCAAAAGTCCATTCGTGGTGGCGGAATATCTCCCGTCGTCGTCTGATTGACCCAAGTAACGTTCTCATCCCAGAAACTGTCGCAGAGACTGACGGTGCTGAAGTCAATCTATGCTCTCTCGTCAGTTCATTCCCTATCGGCCATCCACGCATCCAAACCGCACGAGAAAGAAATATCACGAAGGCAAAAGCAACCAAACAAAACTAGCAGAACAATGCCAAAACAAAAAAAGTAAACTCACCAGATCCCCATTCGTAAAAGTATCGCCATCATCACCCCCGTTCCCCGAACTTCTCATCCCCCCAAACGCCACCAGCGTCCCATTCTCCGTCTTCCCGAAACCGGGCGCATGCACCAACCCGCCCGCGACCCTCGGCTGCCCCAAGTCGGCGGTGGAGAGGTTCCGCGTCTCCCTCGTCTGCAGATCGATCATGACGAGGCCGCCCAGGTAGCTGATCTGATCGAAGGTGGCGTTGGTGACCTGGCCCCCGGTGTACTCGACGCTCGAGTACAGGCCGTAGGAGCTGCCGCGGTCGAAGATGCCGTTGAGGAAGAAGCCGACGCTGTGGGCGACGTCCTCGGCCTGGGCGCCCCAGTTGGGCCGCCAGGGCACGGCGGCCGAGACGTCGACGCTCTGCCAGTTGCGCAGCTCCGTGTCGAAGCTCCACAGCGTGGTGGGGTCGCGGCTCGGCGGCGCCCAGTCCGGGTCCGAGTCGTTGGCGAGGAAGGTGGTGCCGCCGAAGGTGAAGAGGTGGTTCGTCACCGTCATGGCGGCGAAGAGGCCGCCGCGCACCATGTTGGGCGGGTTGCTGGCGCTCGACGACGCAGAGTACCGCCCGATGCGCGACTCGGTGAAGTTGGTCGACGAGTCCCACGACCGGGACATGTCGAACTCGTAGATGTAGCGGTCTGTTGGGTGCGTCAGTGGGCTTTTCTTTCTTTCCCCTCTCTTGATTTTATTGACCGAGAGAGAGAAGTAGAAAGCAAGGAGAAACTCACTGGCCCCGAGCCAACGCGTGTGGCTATCCTGGTACAGTTCCACCCCGCCGTCGATGAAGATGGACGTCCGCCGCAGCATAGCTGGTGTGGAACAGAAGTCAGCGCCGCGTGAAGACGATTAACGAATTCGCAAACCCATCGAAACCACTCCCGCGTCAACGAAAAGGAAAAAACAAACACACATACCTGAATGATGCCACCGCGCGCACCTATCATACACCGGATCATACGCATCATCGGCCTGGCCTTCGGCCCCACTCGCCACTAGAGCAGCCAGTAGCGCGACACCGTACCTCAGCAGCGCTGGTATTGTCGGGCTCGAAACAGCCATCGCGACGGACCGGTTGATGCAGAGAGGGAAAGGAAGGGAAGAAAAAAGGAAGAAGAAATTTCAGAGAGCGGCTCGTCGCAGGCCGGCTGATGACGATGACGGGATGGGACGAGTGGGGGTGTCCGGGGGCTCTAATCAATTTGAGTACGCATGCGCTGGAGCCGGGCCCAGACAAAACGAAAAGAAAAAAAAATTGACCCGTTGGTGTACAAGCAAGCCATGACGGGCGTCGGGCGGGGTCGATTTGCCCGCCTCCCTGATTCGTTCGGTGGTTCCTGCGCTGTTGGCTGCGGGCCAGGCTGAGTGGATGATCCGTAATCCACTGGCGTGCATGCCGGGCTCCGGAGAATGGCTTTCTTTCACATGGGGCCGAGAGGAAATGGTTAAAGATAGATAAAGGGCGCATACATATCCTGCGGCTTGATGCAGTGCGACCCTCTTCGTTGAAGATGGTGGGATGGGAATGGCAGCTGGTATTTCCTGAACAGAGTGAGCGCTTGTATAACCACGACGCACCTCGACACGGCTGAGGAGGATGACGCTTCTTGTGGTATTTTGTAGACGGCTTGCAGTCGCTGGGCGAATGAGAGGTTGGTGTGGCTGCGTTCGTGCATCCTTTGGACGTGCCGTCTCACGTGAGCGGGACGTGGTTGGCCGGGGTGCATGTGTTGCGGAGTACAACCCCACACGTGCGCTGCGCTATTCCGAGATCTGGACCGCATATAAAAGCCACATCGATAAGCGTCCGCACACGTGTCGGTCCAGAATGGTGATTGGCTACCTACCTCTGGGTAGCACAGCAGATCGGACTCCGACCATCTTTCCAATCAAAATCTGGGCGATATTAATAGTCATGTATTCCGGGGAACTACATTATTACTATAACTATGGTCGAGCTTCTTCGTCATTTGTCAGGTCTTATCTCTTCCGGAAAACCCAATGTATGTACCTGAATTTTTTCCCGCGGAAGGTGTGCTTCCCTTCCCCAAAAAACGCCAATCCCATGCGAAACCAAGGCTTCCCGTATGTATATGCTTTGCCTGTCCCGAAATTTCCACACATGAAGAGAAGAAAATGGTGTCGTTAAACATCGTCACCCTGCCATCGCGACAACCACCAACGCGACCCCGCCCAAAACCGACAACCAAAACTCGCCCGCACTCCCCTTCAGCGCAGCAGCAGGCGCAGCAGCCTCCGACTTCGTCGATGCCGTCGCCGCCGCCGCCGTCGTCGCCCCCGCCCAGCCCAACCCGGGCACACTCGTCGTCGCGTCCAACCCGCTCGACTTGCTCGTCGTCCGCGTCTTCGACAACAGCGACGACACGCGCGCCGTCGACGTCGTGCCATCCCCAACCACCACAACCGCCTCCGATCCGTCCGTCCCCACCGCCACCGCACTAACCACCACCCCATCCGCCAACGACGCCGCGGGCCCTCCCGCCGAAATCGTCCGCGTGCCCCCAACAACCAGCACGCCATCCTCACCCACCTCCTGCGCCGTGATAACGCGCGTCCCCACGCTCACGACCGCGCCCGTCCCCCCATCATCACCACCACCACCACCCCCACCTCCTCCACCCGTCTCCCCCGCCGACACTGTCACCGTCTCCGCACCTCCCCCCTCCACAACCAACACCTGCCCCCCCTCCCCCGCGCCCTCCGCCCCTCCCGTCGCCGCAGCCCCCGTCGCCGCAGCCACAACAGAAACCTCCACCGTCACCCCCTCCACCACGACCGGCCCCTCCCCCACACTCAACGTCCTTCCCCCCGGCAGCACGAAATTGCCCTCCCCATCCGCGGCGACGACGAGCCTGCCATCCGCGACGGTGGCGATCGGGCGCGGCGCCGTGTCGGTGGCGGCGAGGGGCAAAGCGACGGTGGTTTGGTCGCCGATGACGACGGCGCCGGTGCGGACGAGGATGGGGGTGGTGCCGATGGTGGAGTCTTGGCCGGGGAGGAGGGTGGCGTGGTTGATGAGGATGGCGTTGGGGTTGGCGGGGTCGGCGGAGATGGTTATGGGGTCGGCGGGGTTGGTGGGGTTATTTGGGTTGGGGTCGGAGGGGTCGGAGGGGTTGGTGTTGGAGGAGGGGTCGGAGGGGTTGGTGTTAGAGGAGGGTGGGGTGAGGGTGGCGATGGCGCCGCCGCCGCCGAAGCGTGGGGCCGTTATGGTCGTTTTTGCGGGGAGTAGGGTGGTGGTGAGGGCGGCGGCGGAGGCGGTCGGTTGCTGCTGCTGGGCGGCGGAGATGTCGTCGTCGGTGGTGGCGGTCGTTTTCGCGTCGGCGGTGGCGGTGGGCGTGGGGGGGAGGAGGTCGCCGACGGGGGTGAGGTAGTAGGGCGGGTCGAAGACGTACTTGCGCCAGAAGAGCGACGTGCAGTTGGCGAACAGCGGGTCGATGGCGGTGAAGTGGGCGGGGTTCGTCGGCAGGGCGAGCCAGGGCAGGTAGTCGTCGTAGACGGTCGCGCAGCCGTCGCCGCCCGCGGCGGTGCCCCGCACGCCGAGCCAGTTGTCCCAGCAGCTTTGCTGCCCCTTGTATGCGCTGAGCGGGACGGGCGAGTTCATGTCGGCCCAGTTGATGGAGGTGGTGCGCTCGATCGGGTTGGTTTGGCCGAAGACGAGGCTGGAGATGTCGGTGGAGGGGACGGGCACGATGGCCGAGGTCCAGGTCTTGTAGCAGGGCAGGCCTTGGAGCTGTTTGAAAGAGAGGTACACCGAGGGCGAGGTGAAGGTGTAGTCCCCGGACGTGGCGATGACTGGGGTCGCGGGTGTCGGGGCGGCGGTTTTCGGGACTCCGTTGTTGGTGGCGCAGAGCTGCGAGGGGTCCTTGGACTGCGGCCAGAAGATGAGCTTCACGTCGCCCGCGTCCAGCCGGCATTCCTCCTCGCCGGCCGGGATGATGCATTCGTTCGGACCCCACTCGCACAGCGGCGGGAGCGGCGGGTTGACGGTGGCCGGGTGCGAGGTGGCATACCACGAGCGGTACGACGACACGACCAGCTCGCAGCCATGGTAGTCGAAGGTGCACGTCGGCGACGGCGACGGGAAGGGCGGAGGGATCGAGTTCACGTAGACTTGGCCGATGGTGGTGGTGGTCGGGGCGGGGCCCGAGGCGCGCGGCACGCCATCGCAGAAGGTCGACAGCGGGCCGGTGTAGTTGGACAGCCAGAGGGTGTCGTAGGTGGTGGTGGACGAGTAGGAATACGAGGCGTGCGAGGACCAGTACCAGTCGGACGAGGCTGTGTACCAGGCACGCTTGGCCGATTCGCACGAGTGCACCTGGCGGACGAGGCTGCTTTCTGTGCCGGTCCACGTGAAGGCGGCGGTGGAGGAGACGAGGTCGGGACCGGGTGTCGTCAATGCAGCGGCGGAAGATACGGGTGATAAGGGGCCACTCGCGCCCGAGGCATTGGAAGGGGCGGCGGCGGCGGCCTGGACGGCAGCGCTCAGCAGCAGGGCCGGCCAGGACAAGATTCTCCGCCGTGAGCGATACATGGATGCAATGGCAGCATTGGAACCAGGTGTGGAGGGAGCGAAGGGGAAAAGAGGAGGGAGATGGGGTCGTCGACGCGTCAACCCAGATGAAGCCGAGTCAGGACATGACGTTCAAGAACTCGTATTTTCGCCGGCTTGGCCGTGAGGGGAATGGCCAGCACCCGACCGGCGGCCCGATCAGCAGGCCCCTGGTGTCGATCCACGCGCTCAACGTTCTTTGCGTCTGGCTGAAGGCGTCCAGAACGCGGATAGGAGGCCGGCGTGGATCATGTGCATGTGATTGTCCCTTTGGCAGTACTGTAGAGCTGTGTGCTGTGCAGACGGCCTCACCGCCGGGTGGCCGCCTTGGGCGTGTCTGGTCCGGATGCGTTGTCGCAAGATTTCAAGGACCCAGTGGCGTCGCTGAGGAAACGCCGCATGAGGCTGCCGGGTGGTGCCGGCTCGCGCCACCAAGCTTGGCACTCACCTGCTGTGGAACCTGAGCAGGTGTTCTTTGGACCTGCTAGAGATGCTAGACAGTCTTCTCGAAACACCCCGTCACTGCAGTGTCCCATGGTACGGCCATCATTGACGCTCTCATGGCTCTACGACGACAGCCGCAATAAATTCCGTCACGTAATGACTACAGGCCAACAGAACAGAGGCAGCACCGCGCAACTCACTGTGTTTTGCGTCCTGCGTGTGCCGCACTAGCCCTCTCTGCAAATCAGGGTATAAAAAAAAAATTCAAGCGCGACACGACGCGATCGACAAACTCGTGTCCCAAGCGCTTCCCCGGCCCCCGCAAACCCCATCGTCGTATTCCTCCCTCGGAGCCAAACCCCAAATGATCCACGTCGCTCATCGCGATCCGCACTCTACGCCACAGGCGGAAAGGAGTTCCGCCCCGTTGGATGACAGCCGCCCAGCCAGCTAGCTATCTAGCCTCAACCGCCGCCTACGCTGCGCCACTGCGCTAAGTACATACATATACCCCATCGCAGGATTTTCTTCGTGTTTGCGCGACGGAGCATGCCGGGCCGAAGAAGCTCGGTCTATGCGTGTTGATCGTGCATGGCGATCTTGCATGCGAGAGTCCCATTACCGTGTAGGAAAGGAAGCATACAACACGCAGCACTACTTCCTAGAAACTCCGAGGAAGCATTCAAAGTTTCGTTCCCTTTGGACTTACCCTCAGTAAGTCAAATTTGTACTACGGTGTGAGTGCAAAAAGCCGGACATACTCGGTGCATATTATATGGATTGCATTCCTATACCTTCTGTTCTTAGTTCTACCAGAAATGGAAGGAGAGAAATGATGACGCCTTTTGGGCTTTCCCTGTTCCCCTTTGTTGATTTGCTGAAGCAAATCAGAAGTTGTTGCATGACTCCAATTTTTCCCACCGTTCCCACCATAGCTGCCTTCTTGTGTTCCGAAATCACTTTTGAGCCCCAATGAATCTTTTCTCTCCGCCAGCCGCCCCATCAGCAATAAATTTTCCTCTCAATAGGGTGACCAACTTTGTCTCGACCAATCATTTCCGGGAGGGCCGCCCCACCCAGGCACGTTGCTCTCATCTAGCAAACCACAATGCGGACACGGACGACTAGGAACTAACGATAATATGTCGTCCTCGCTGACCAAAGCCCCGACCCTGTATGCATACCAGGACTCGCACAGCCGCCTGGAAAACTCCCAAAGTGTCAACGTCCTTGGTGGTACTACTTTCACAAAGGTCCGCGCCATCCGTTTCGCCATGTCACGCGCTACGTCAGCCGCGCACTCGTCCACGATGGATCGGATCTGGTCTTCCGGTTTGATTATGAGGGCTAGGTCGACGATAAGCGCGCGTAGCGGGGCGCTAGACAAGGTGTTGGCGTAGACATAGGCAATGATTTCGGCCGTGGGGAAGGACGAGGGCATCGTTGTTGGAAAGTTGTGGGTGGTGGCTGTCATGGCGACGAGCGCCTTGGTGGTGTCGTTTTGCAACGCAGGCATCTGGAGTTTGTCGCCGAGGATCCAGAGATGAGTGAGGTTGTGTAGGCGGTCACTTGTAGCCTTTTTAGTGCGGTAGTAGATGTCGCTGGCTTTGTCTTCGTCGGCGCTGCCGCCATCTTCCTCGTTGTTGTCACCGTTGCCGTCCTCCTCGTCGCTGTAGTCGCTGGGGGATTTGTCCTTGCGGGCATCGCCCCAGCCGCCGACGATGTTCTCGTCCCCAGCATCGCCCAGTAGCACTCCATGTGAGCCGTCCACCTCTCCGCTGTACAGCCAGTAAACGACGAGAAGTCGAAGGGGTCGTCTTCAAGCAGAGAGATCTTTTTGCTCTCGGCCTCCTTGAAGTGGCCGCGAAACGCGGCGTAGAAAAAGGCGCTGTAGTGGCAAAGCAGAGCCTCGTGGACGATGAATGTGACCGTGGGCGCGGTGCCAACGTCGATGGTGACGATTCGACTCATGAAGCACCTTGTTGAGTGAGGCTGTCAGCTTTGCAATTCACATCGCAGGATCATTATGAGGCCGCTAAGCTGAGACTCACGCTATGGGAGGCGCTTCGGTTCTGGTCGTCGGAGGCTCGAACCTGTTCGGGCCGTTGGGTAGGGGAGGTGGATGCGACGAGGCATCGTCGACGATTTCCGGGCTAGTGAGCGATGGCGATTCAGTCGGAGTCGGAGTTCTTTTGTTGAGAGTAAAGTTTGCCTTGAACTCACCTGTGATCCATGATGGGAATAAGACGAGGAACTCTGCGAGTCCTGAAGCCCCCATTGGCGCTGCTGCTGGTAGAGGTCGTCAGGCTGGCCTGGTCGACGTCAATCGCGGCCGACAGTGAGTGACTTCGAGTTTGTTTTGTGTTGCGTAGTGGAGGTGAGGTTCAGTAGATAAAAGGTCGATGGTGCTTAGTAACCTGCAGCCGGCAGGCTAACTACGTTCACGCCGTGTGTCACGGGAGCAGGCAGGTAAGGAATGCACGTGATTGGAATGGCATATGTTTAACACTACTTAGGCAATTGCTGGCCGACTCTCCGCTCACTACGCCCAACTCTACCTATATTGGATGAAATATTTAAGCTGGAATGGTATGGCTTGTGGATATGGGGCCATAACCGGAAATTCCGCAAGAGTGAAAGGCATCTTCAAACGCTTCGGCATGAGCCGTTACTATACATGGAATGTGCGGCTTCAGTGGCATCATTTGAGTTTTGTTCTAGCTTGATATTTTGTCTTCTATCGACTATTGACATCTGTATCTTCCATTACACAGCCCGTCGTCTCCTTGTTCGCCAGTCGCCTTTTGAATCTCCTCCTCCAGCCCATCGCTGTGTGTCCGTGGCATGATACTCATAAGCAACCATGACTACTCTTGAGTCGGACTCTGTTCGCGAGCCTTTATCCAAATCTATGTATCTTTTGCGTCTTGTTCGAACAAGTCTTCTCTCCTTACTAACCCAACTGCATAACGCCGCCACAACTTCTGCAAGCGTTCGTACGGGGTCAAGTAGTTCGGTCTAGCCTTTTTCATAAAGTAAAAGGCCCTCTTAGCCATGTCCGAGACTATCTCTGGTGTAGCGACCTCCGTGATTCTGCAAAGATTGTCGTGATGCTCAATGAGTAGAGCCATGTCAATGATGAGCGAGCGAAGCGGCACGTCGGGAGGTGTGCAGACGTAGACGTTGTTTATCGTCGTGGCGTCCAGGCAAATCCGGACGCGGTCTGGATTGTGACGCAGTAGTCCAAAAATCGTGCGAGTGACGGCGTTCTGCAGTGCAGGCATTTGCAGCCTATAGCCGAGGATCCAGAGGTCAGTTAGGATGGACATAGAAGGGCCTTCGGTGTCACCGTTACCACTATTGCCTTCATCACCATGATCCTCATCATCCTTCACTTGCGTCTGATAAGCCTCCTCAAGTTTGTTAGTCAAACTGTCCCAGGTGGCTTCCCCGTGTCCAAAGTTTATCTCTCCGGTGTACAGCCAGAACATACACCGTAAGAAGGTGGACGGGTGATCTTCTGGAAACTTGAATGTCTTAGTCTCGGATTCCTTCAGTTCAGTGTGGAATAAGGCGCTGTAGCGACAAATGAGAGCTTCCTGGACGCAGAACCTCATAGGCTCTCCCAAGGGGGGCCCGCCAACTACAATCAAGATGCTGGGGCCAGCGAAACACCTAAAGAGCGTTCAGAAATATCTCAGAGTGATAAAAAAAACTTGCTTACGTCATAGGATCGTGGCCATGCCTGACTGCTAGAGGTTTGAACTTGACAGGGCCAGTCGGAGGGTCGGAACGAGCGGGTGCCGGTGACTCGGGTTCGTCGCCCAGCTGGGGAGCATAAAATCATATTAACGCTGAAGGCCTTTCTGCGACGCGAGAAACTGTGAACTTACTCGTGCGCGATCTGGCGCTGCCATGTCGAAGTGAGGCGCAACACTCCAAGCTGCGATTTCGTTCTGACAGCGGGTGACAGTAATGCGCTCCCACTTGGAAGGTTGCTGTCGGCGCCGAGTGACTTCGTGGTTGCGCCCGCCGGTGCAGAAAGAGGGCGAGTTGGGCGAAGGACGGTGATGAGAAAGGTTGTTGTGTTCAGGCGAGGCGGCAAACAGACATGGTTGCTCGGGACCGGCGGCTCATCTGCGGCCCCTGCCACGGTCTCGAGGGTTAGCAACGGGCCTACCGGGCACCTTGCTCTTGCAGGGGAGAGTGATGATGCACGTGATATGGAGCGTGTCACCAATTGGGCCCCCTCCTTAGTCTACAAGCATACAACGCCCAGTTCATGCAATACCAGGCAATTCATGGATCATATAGATCTACCATGCCAATTCGGTTCCTCATTCCACTATTCAAACACCTTCTCACAATTTCCGAACTCCAATAACACGCTGTCATTGACTTGAGGCCAGCTACCATTTCATCGAACAAACCCCATACCAGAAGCCTAACGAGCTGTTGTTCGCTCGCAAGGTCTGAATGACCGCTAGACTCAATTTAAATTGGCCTACACACTGTAGGACCCATGACCGTATTCAAGCAAACGTATTGTTTTTGAGTCTCCATTTGCTAGTAGAATATTGTCCTCACAAGAGAATACATATATTACGCCATCACAGCGATGTCAGATGCCACTGCCAATCCGGACGAACTAGTTAAATGCTGTCGATGAAGTGGTGATTTACCGCTTCACCAACCTCACACATCACAGGTCCAGCAACCATCGCACATAGACTCGGGATGGCAAGTCTTCAGCATCAATCCGGGCACCACGACATATCTTCGGCCCTCTATAGGCACATCGTAGGCTTGGTGAGCCATCGCAAAGGTCTTGTACTTCGGGTCATGGTTCTGCGTCTCGTGCCGCCAGTACTTCATAGCCGCCCTAAACAAAGCGGCAAAGACCTCCGGCGACAGAGTCTCCTCCAGATCCGCGATGTGTTCCATCTGCCAAGTCAGAACCGCGATGTCAATGGCCAGGGCACGCAGTGGGGCCTTCTCGACAGTGTTGTCGAACACATGTTGCAGCATATCGACACTCGGAAGGGGCTCGCAGTGATACAGCTCGTGCGTGGATACGAGCTCTACCAGCTTATGGGCAACTTCGTTCTGCATTTCGGGCATGAAGAACTTGTCCCCCATGATCCAAAGGTCGAAGAGGGCGTTAGGACCAGCGCAGGAGTCCAGGGGCGTGGGAGCAGGGGCGTTGGGATCGGGCTCCTCATACATCGATCCGAGAGAATTGCCGTCATCGTCATCTTCGTCGGAACTACCGTTGCTACCGTCCTCTGGAGTGCCGTCCTCGACACTGTTGTCTTCAGGCGAGCCAGCCGCCTGTCCCCTGTAGTGGTTGCGTGTATCAACTCGCCCCCTGTAGAGCCAGTTGATCATGCGGTAGACGATGTCGGGGTCGTCTTCAGGGAGTGGCACCACTTGGCGCTTGCCTTCCTGGAATGGGCCATTCAGAGCGGTTACGAAGAACGGGCTGTTCTTGACGAGGAGCTCCTTGTGCACCGGGAATGCAACTCGATCTGGACCGGTTCCGACATTGAGCAGAGCCATTGGGCAGCTCAGCTGCTCCCAGGGGATGAATCCCGTGGTGTTGGAGAGAGGGTCCATGGTATCGGGATTAGCAAGGGTGGCTTTGCTGGTGACTTCGCGTTGCGTGTTCGTTCAACTGATGCGTGGGGATTATTTTGGAAAGTAATCGGGTAGATGCTTTCCTCGGTGAGTGTCTCAGTCAATGATGGGAAGAGTGAGGAAGGAGGTTCATTGCAGTTGATATGGCCATAGTTATATACGAAAGACTCGGCAGGGAATGTAAAGAATGACACAAAATGTGTTAAAGAGATATGGTCTCTGGTGTAAAAGAAATACATAAGTGTCTAGTGCCAAAGATTCGCACACGTGAACCTAGTGTTAAGTGAGAATGACGACAATTGTGTGTAGTGCGGGCATGAACAAAGCGTTGAGACTGGCGAAGGAGTGTAGGATAGCGGGACTGGGAGATAGTTCCCAAATGACCTCAATCACGATTTTATAAAGACACTTGTAATAATAAAGGATGGAGCAGGATTATTCACTGAGAAATAGCACAGGCGAACAATATATACGACCACAGCTGCGTAGCTGACTGCATACAAGCAAGCAACCCCATGCAGGAGGCCGTCGCCTGAAACAATATAGACAACCTCTCAGCTTCTAAAGCGATGATAGGAAAATAGAACTGATGACACACAAACACAACAAAGGCCAGCTTCTCAGATTGTGCGATTGCTCGTCGGTCTTTATGTATGCACTCAAACCAAGTTGTAACAATGAGCAAGCACGCTTTTAGCGCCACATCGATGTCACCTGGAAGCGCAGACCCAGGGGCTGCTTAGAGTCAGCTGCACGATAGATTCGACCTCCCATGCTTGCTGGATCAACAATTATATCTCTCGACTCCTAATAATCCAAGCTCTATAACCCTCTTCGCAGCCATCACACATTTTCACCGAAATGACCGGATGGTACACCGGCAGTTTGATCGTAGGCTCCTCTAGCGAGTCGCGGCTGCAGCCGCGCACAGCGTACGCATCGTACGCTTTCTTGTACATGAAGAATGTTTTATGCTTTTCCTCACGGTTTTGGGTCTCCGTGTGCCAGTACTTCATCGACCTGGCGAACATGTCGCTCACAGCCTCTACCAGCAGTATCCTTGATAGTTCCTTTGCCGACATCTCCAAGTCGTCGAACTTCCGCGCCACGGCCGGCATGCCAATCGCTAGTTTCCTGATATGAGACGTCTCGAGGCAGTTGTCATAGATGTACTGGAGGGTCTCGGGGTCGCCACAGGGGTGGTCAGCGTGAAATTCCATCCATGATCGTTGATAGGATTTTGAGTGTCGATATGCGCGAGTAAATCCATATGACAGGGCGGTCGATGACGTCTGGGTTGTCCTCCGGGAGAACGATGGTGTTTTCTCGTGACTCCTTGAAGTGACTGTTTAGAGAACGAGCGAAGGAGAACTGCTTTTGATAAGCAGGTCTTTGCCCACAAGGACCGGAGCTTTGTTAGGGCTAACCCCAAGGGTAATGACGGGACTCAAAAAATCTCCAGATATGGTGTCTGTAGGAAGGGTGGCTTGCTGAAGTGTCCGGAAACGCAATGTTTCTTTCCTGGGTTGGTTTTAGAAAGAGAGTGGAAATGATGAGGAGAAGGTTTGTTTCCATAGACCTGACCGTGTTTATATAGAAAGAAGCCCTCGGCGTATACGAGAATTTGCGTGGGAATTTGTGTTATTAGAATACATACAAGCTTGTTGATATCTGGGTCGATGAGAACGTATAAAAGGGGATTTGCGTCAACACTTTTCCAGAACCAGTTCACATACGGCAAGTGGGTATTGGATGTGAATTTGAATTTCAAGACGATTGAGAAAGAAATGTCTCTGCTTGAGTCTGACCACACCATTTTCCCGTGGCTCAAGCAACTTTTAAGGTACCCACTGTAGACCCAGTCCGCAGCTGCCGTCGTAGATTTCAAACGCTCTGGTAAGCGCACTCACCCTTTTGAGCTGCACAAGAAAAGACCTATGAAGCATTGCCCACTTTCTTCACCATTCCGGTTAGTAATCACCCCAGCCTGCCCCACTGCTGCTTCCTTCCAGAGAACCCCGCCCACCGCCGCTGACATCGAACACAGAGGACTTTGAATCCACGCCCTGAGGGGATTCGATCTGCTCGTGCCCTCCTCCATTAATCTTAACGACGTAGTAACCGCGAGATCTAGCCATCATTTTCGGGGCTCTCCGCAAGCCATCATGGTGGCAATCCATGTGTATCTTGGAGAGCTGGATCATGGAAACAGAGAGGTCTCTCACCATTTCCTCGGGAAGTTTCCTGAGGTGTTGTTCGAGGCCAATGCCGAAGCTTGTCACAACCATTAGGTCAACCGCCAGATGACGAAGAGGGGAGGTATCGGTAGTGCTCTCGTAGACGAACTCCAGGTCTCCGCTTTTGATCTCTAGATCGTGGTTCCAGGCCGTGCACTGCTCTATGAGCTCACTCGTGATCTGGTTCTGGAGCAGGCGCACTTGCAGCTTGTCGGCCAATATCCAGAGAGAGAGAAGGCGACCAATCAGTCCCCTTGGTGGATAGCTAGAGCTGGTGGTCGGAGTATAAGGCGGGGATATCGTGTCCACACCGGGTCCCACTGACTCCAGGTTCAGGTCATGCTGCTCGTCCACCACCAGATCTGGCATGTCTGAGAAGACCGAGTCCAGGGTGCCTGTGTAGAGCCAGTGCTGCAAGCATGAGAAAAAGCGCGGATCATCCTCAGCCAAAGTGACAGTTTTGGTGAGAGCTTCTTTGAAGTGGCCGTGCAATGCATGTTTGAAGAACTCGCTGCGCTCTATGAGGAGCTGTTCATGGATGTCAAATCTGGTTGAAGGTGAGCCGACGTGCACAACAGCCAAAGGGCCCGTGAGCATCCTGTGATCGTATTAGCGGAAAGTTGCATCACATCTGTTGAAGCAATTAACTCACTCCGTGGTTGGAGGGTGGATGACGTGGCTCAACTGGCTATTGCGCATGGTGAGTGAGGTTGGAATGCGAGCAGCGACAGTAGCTCTGTGGGAAATCGAAGTCGGCTGGAGTGCGCCCTTGTAGACGTTGACGAAGCCCGTCTAGAGGTACCAACCTCACCAAAAGGCAGATTCTGGGCAGTGGATGTTGGTTGCGCTGTAGCTGAGTCGGGGGCAGTGGCTTTATAAAGGCGAGATGTGAGTGGCAAGGTGTTGGGTGCGCGTGACTAATCATTTTGAGAGAATATGGCAGGTGCGCGCTGGTATGAGTTCAGGGCACGTGCCGTGTCTGCAAGCTGCTTCTCTGCCTTGCACTAAGCCACCTAACAGTCTTTGGATTCGTCCTTAGAGTAGACGCTTTCGAATGGGGCAAGTATGGTTGGCTGTCATGGTAAAAGGATTCAGTCTTACCTTTCTTCCACTCAGTCCTTGGTTCTCCGCATTTTGGTTGCTGTATTACCAGAACAAAAGTATTCTGTACCACTCAGAGATCGCTGGGTCTCATCTCTTCCGGGAGGAAAACAAAAGCGAAGATAGTATGTACTGTACCAACGAGGGACTTCGACCAAACAAAGAAAAAGAATTTGGCCTAAACATACATGCCCAATGCTGTAGGTATCTCCGCACTAATCAACCCTTTTCTCTTGTCATGAAAAGTCCAGGAACAAAATCTCCACTCATCCCAAACGAACCATAACCAATAATTCCATGACCTCAGATACGAACCGTTCCCTTTACCTGGCTTTTTCCATTCCCTTCACTGTCGAAGCGCCAGAGCCGGGCCGAAAGACCCATGTCCCAAGTCTTTCCCTTGACTTTTCCGTCTCACCAACACTACATCAAACAGCCGTTCTTCTTGCTCGAGTGCAAGTCCGACACCGCAACCCTGAGCTTCTTGCCGCCAACGTCTACAAACGCCTCGATCAACCACTCGTACCAGACCTTCCGATCATCCGTCTGCCGCCACATGCTGACCGCAATCTCCGAGTCATCGGGAATGTAGATAGGTTCCTAAAATCCGCGAATCAATCATCAGCAAACCATCCAACGCCACACCAAAGGAACAAAGAACAGCACAAACGCAAAGCAACAAAGCGTAAAGCGGAGAACGGACGTACCTTCAACGGGAAGTATATCGGGAACCAACTGATCATATCCTTGCTCTTCTCATCAATGGTGTTCGGGTTCGTGCTGAGCTCGATCTTCCGGCCCCACCTGCCCGCCTGCTCGCCCTCGCACGCGTACAGCACCGCCTCGAAGTAGCCGCCGAGCCCGTGGCACACGCCGCGCTTGGCGCAGCGGAACGACATGCGCGAGAAGCGCGCGTTGTGCTCGTTGGCGCCGTCGCCGCCCGTCGCGCCGCCCGCGCCCCCGGCTGCGCTGCCGCCTTCGCGGAGCCGCGCCTGCGCCAGCACCGCGCCTGGCAGCGGGTGTGTGAACTCCCATACCAGTTGGACGTCGGGGGTGAGCGCGGTGGTTTCCGGTGAGCCGCCCTTGGACGCGGCCGCTGCGCCGTTATTGGCTGCGGCGGCGTAGCTGCCGTTGGCGACTGGCGAGGCAGGGGCGCTGGTGGTCGAAGCGGCGGGAAGGGTGGAAAGGTAGTCGATTTGGTGGAGCATGACGACGTGGGGTGTTTCGGGGCTGGTGGGGTCGGAGAGAGCGCGGTTGTTGATGTCGGCGTGGAGCTTGGGTGCGGAAAGGGGTGTGAGATGTGCCGTGTAGCTGGCGGGGATGCTGATCCCATGGGTAGGGTTGAGGACGTGCTGCACGCCATCCAAGCACTCCGGCGACAGTTCGTTATCGGCGAACGAGCCGAGCAGCTCGGAGACCAAGATATCGACGTGGCCGTGTGAGCCGTCAGCGCGGTGCGGACCTTTCCAGGACCGCATGTCGGACTTGACCACCGTGACTCGACCAGCCCAAGAGTCTAGGTTGTGGCGCTGCAACAGTACGTATGCGTTGGGATTCTTCTCCACCGCCCACATGTCGATCTGCACGCCCGAGTTGCGCGAGGCATTGAGCGAGCGCGTCACAAGAGGGCCACGACCAGCTCCCGCGACAGCAACGACAACCTTGCCGTCCGGACCGGAACCCTGCTTGTTCTGCGCAGTCCAGTCCAGCAGCGCTTGCTCGACAGCACGCTCGTACCATTCGTATTTGACCGGGTCCTTCTCAAATACTTCGTACGTGATGCTCTCGAGATTGTCAGTCAGAGGCTGCAGTGGAGATTGAAGGAAGTCTTGGTAGCCAGAGCCGAAGCGTTCGATCTGTGACTTGGGCGGCTGGTTCTTCTGAAGGTGGCGGATGTAGCTGAGGTGGGGAGTCGGGTCTGCTTGTTGCTTTTGTTTGCCAGCCGGCACCTTGGCGGCCTCAGCAGGGGTCGGCTCGGGTTGAGGGTTGAATCCAGGCGTGAACGAGCCAGCTTCTGCCGAGAGGAGTCCATTTGGCATAGTCATGAGGGTCTCGTCATCATCCACGCCGGGAATGGGACCAATGTCCGAGAGCAACAGCCATGGTGTGGCGCGAAGGCGAGTATAGCGGGTGAGAAGCGCTTGGTGACTGACTGGGAGAACATCGTAGCCTCGCTTGTTCTTCAGAAACGCGGAGCCGGGGATTGAAAGTAGGCGCAACGGTTCAGAGAACCACCGGGATTGGACAGAAACGGGTGGAAGTTGACGGGGTAAATCCAAGGCTATTTAGATGAGAGAATCAGCAGCAACTCTTGGAAGGCTTTCAGTAGAGGGTGGAAGACAGCGCTTCCAAGAGCCCACGCGTACATGTCTCTGAAGTGGCGAAGAACACGGGAGAGAATGGAGTAAATGACTTGATTCCTTACCTACGGAGAGCCTCGAGTTGTATTTACATACAGTTCTGATGATGTTCCACGCGTCCCAGGTGCCGAATAGGTCAAGCCCGGCATTTTGCTTAGCGTCCGATGCCTTCACGTACTTTTCGCGGGCAAAGGGAGCAAGGTGCCCCATGTCATCATTCGATTCTACATTGGGATCATCAACCATGGGCAGCAGGATCACAATGTTGATGTATGGACCGACAGCCAGGGCTTCCAGCATGGAGCGTGCAAACTGAGACACGCCAGTGGCATGAAGATGGCCATGGTGTAGCTTGGGGCCCTGGACGATGATGTTGCCGATGCCGCAGAAGGATGCATAAGCAACTTCCTGCGAAAAGACCTGGCGGGACACATGGGCAATGACAGGATCAGGCGAGGCAAGATCAATCCACGGGCTGGAGAGGGCGAGCAGCTGGTTAATAGTGTCACCGGGGGTCAGGATGGTGTCGTCGGGCGTAATGGGGGCGATCAGCGGCAGCGGCAGATCGTCCGCAGGCTGAGCCTCCAACCGAGCGAAGTGCTTGGACAGAAGGTTCAGGACGCGGTCGTGAAAATGGGCGTTGGTGACGGGCACCGTGAGCATATCATACTGGGGCGGGTCAGCCTGGGCTAGAGGAGTGGGTTGGGGGAGAGCGGGCGCACGCCGAGGTCCTGGGCCTGACGCAGCAGCAGCTCCGTCACGGGATGGCTGCGGCGGGTCTCATGGTGGCCGACGTAGACGATGGGCGCGTCCTCCATGCTGGCGGGCGAATCCATGGGAATGCAGCGGGGCAGGCGGATCGCGCGGCTGGTGCGACAGCGATCAGGCGGCAAATCGGCAGGAATGGGCACAGCGCGGGCTGGCGCTGGGAGAATATCAGATGCGGCGCGCAGCACTGAGGCCAAAATTTCGAGGGTCCGCGGAGCCGCCATGATTTGCCGTCCGTGCCCGGGCGGTGAGCCGCTGACCTAAGCCCGCGTCGCGATTTATTTTGCGCCAAAAGTCCAAACACCCATCGCCGAGCGCAGCCAGGACACCGTCAGGCCGCCCCAGACACACCCTTCCGCTGCTCCCCACGCGCCACCATGGCCGACCGCAGACCCGACGGTGCTGAGAGCCGCGCCAAGCGCCAGAAGACGGCCGCCGAACTCGACCCCAAGGCCAATCCCTACCTCGCCCACATGTACGACGGCGGCTCCAACGGCGCCGCCAACGGCTTCGACAGCGGCTCTGCCCTGTCCAAGTTCCGCCGCCACAAGACCACCTGCGAGGATGCCCAGCAGGCCGAGGATGGCCCCAACAACCCTTTCACCGGACAGCCGCTGTCCAAGAAGTACTTCGATATCCTGAAGACCCGCCGCGATCTGCCCGTCCACGCCCAGAGGCAAGTTTTCCGCTCCCGCCTTGCCCGTGCTGGCTAACCTTACCCAGAGATGAATTCTTGCACATGTACCAGAGCACCCAGATCCTCGTCTTCGTCGGTGAGACCGGTTCCGGAAAGACGACCCAGATCCCGCAGTTCGTTCTCTTCGACGACCTTCCGCAGATGCAGGGCAAGATGGTCGCCTGTACCCAGCCCAGGCGTGTCGCCGCCATGTCCGTCGCCCAGCGCGTCGCCGACGAGATGGATGTGTCTTTGGGCGAGGAAGTCGGTTACAGCATTCGTTTCGAGGACCGCACTTCGCACAAGACCATCATGAAGTACATGACGGATGGTATGCTACTACGCGAGGCCATGAACGACCACAACCTGTCCCGCTACAGCACCATCATTCTCGACGAGGCCCACGAGCGTACTCTGGCCACCGATATCCTGATGGGTTTGCTGAAGGAGGTCGTCGGACGCAGGCCCGATCTGAAGCTGGTCATCATGTCCGCCACCCTGGATGCTCAGAAGTTCCAGCGTTACTTCAACGACGCCCCTCTCCTCGCCGTCCCGGGTCGTACTCACCCCGTCGAGATCTTCTACACTCCCGAGCCCGAGCGCGATTACGTCGAGGCTGCCCTGCGCACTGTCCTCCAGATCCACGCCACCGAGCCCGAAGGTGATATCCTCCTGTTCCTGACTGGTGAGGAGGAAATTGAAGACGCCTGCCGCAAGATCGGCTTGGAGGCCGATGAGATGACCCGTGAGGCCGATGCGGGCCCTCTCAAGGTGTACCCGCTTTACGGTACTCTGCCTCCCCACCAGCAGCAGAAGATCTTCGAGCCCGCCCCTCCGCCTCGCACTCCTGGTGGACGTCCCGGCCGCAAGGTCATCGTCTCGACAAACATTGCTGAGACCTCCCTTACCATTGACGGTATCGTCTACGTCGTCGACCCTGGATTCAGCAAGCAGAAGGTTTACAACCCTCGCATTCGTGTTGAGTCTCTCTTGGTTTCTCCCATCTCCAAGGCTTCTGCCCAGCAGCGTGCTGGTCGTGCCGGTCGTACCAGGCCTGGAAAGTGCTTCCGTCTGTACACCGAGAAAGCCTTCAAGTCTGAGCTTATCGAGCAGACTTACCCTGAGATTCTGCGCTCCAACTTGTCATCCACTGTTCTGGAGCTCAAGAAGCTTGGCATCGAAGACCTTGTGCACTTCGATCTCATGGATCCTCCTGCGCCCGAGACTCTGATGCGCGCCCTGGAGGAGCTGAACTACCTGGCTTGTCTTAACGATGACGGTGACCTTACTCCACTTGGCGGCATGGCATCCGACTTCCCTCTTGACCCCGCACTCGCCGTCATGCTCATCTCCTCGCCCGAATTCTTCTGCTCCAACGAGATTCTCTCTCTCGTTGCTCTCCTCTCAGTTCCGCAGATCTTCGTCCGTCCGGCCAGTGCCCGTAAGCGGGCCGATGAGATGAAGGATCTCTTCGCTCATCCCGATGGCGACCAGCTGACGATGCTGAACGTGTACCATGCCTTCAAGTCCACTGAGGCCCAGGCGAATCCCAAGCAGTGGTGCCACGACCACTTCCTCTCTTACCGTGCCCTGCAGCAAGCCGACAACGTCCGTCTGCAGCTTCGTCGCATCATGGAGCGTCTCGAAATCACGCTCATGTCCACGCCCTTTGAGGACAAGAAGTACTACGAGAACATCCGCCGCGCTCTCGTCAGCGGCTTCTTCATGCAGGTGGCCAAGAGGGACGGCACGGGCAAGACGTACATCACGGTCAAGGATGAGCAGAACGTGCTGCTGCACCCGTCCACGGTGCTCGGTCACGACAGCGAGTGGGTTGTCTACAACGAGTTCGTGCTGACGACCAAGAACTACATCCGCACCGTGACGTCGGTCAAGCCGGAGTGGCTGCTGGACATCGCGCCCAACTACTACGACCTCCCCAGTTTCAAGAAGGGCGACATCAAGATGGCTCTGCAGCGCACCGTCGACAAGATGAGGCGCAGGGAGGCCATCAAGGGCAAGCGCTGAAGTTGATGTGCAATAGGAAAGGGAGGCAGCGTCAGGAAGCCTTGACTGGCTGGCTGGCAACCACTGCATCCTTTTTCTTGTTGTCACATTTGCAGCACATCTCAACAAAACCGGCGGCCCTTTGTCAATTTGGGTTCTTTTCTCTCTTCTTTCTTCCAGCGCGGCGCAGGATGGGTTTTCCTACGGAACTGGGAAATAGAATGGCCCTGCTTCCCCCCCTTTTTTCTTTTACTGTTCAAGCCATAGGGGTGCATTACTCTACTCGGCCCTCTTGAGTCGGTAAAAACGGTGAACAAAAATTTGGCGCATATGCCATAGAAAGTTGAATATACTGGCTAGTTTTCAAAGAGTTGGCCTAACGAGGTGTGGGAAGGGGGCTTGGAAAACGGCTCACGATGAAGGGATATGGCCTGCCTCATTCATGCAAGGGTCTTGGCTTTTTTCTCCTTTCCTCCGAAGCGAGGGAAGATGCTCATGGGTGAAGGGGGGGAGTTCAGAACAACAGGATCTATAGCACAACCCTCACAGCGAGTCAAACAGACGATGCTGTCGATCAGGTAGCTGAATCCAAGGGATTTTTTCCTGCAGATATTCTTGCTGATGTTTGTGTGCACGCTTTTTCTCTCCCGCTCACTCTTGTCCAAGCATTGTCCCTTCCCCTCCCGTCCCCTCCCGTCCCCCTTCCTCGCGTGCAGGGTCTTCGATGCGATGGCCAACAGGAGCATCGCCGGAAAAAGAAAGGATCGACTGCGCGATAGCTAGGCCGGTGAGGGAGACATGGGAGGAGGAGCTAGTACGAGTACGAGCATACGAGCGTCGAGGTAGGGAGCGGAAGGGAGCTGCACGTCGTCTGTCTTAGTGTGGAGGAGAGGGAGGGGGGAGGGGGGGGGGAGGATGTTGGTCATGTTTGATCAGGTTTCCGGGTTGCCGAGGACAGAGGCAAGGAGACAGTCAGAGCGAGTAGGTAGGGAGACGGGCAGCATTTGTTGGAAGACTGGGGGTTTAGGGATATACTCTCAAGAAACACTAAAAGTCTCTCTTTCGCTCTCTTTCAACGACGGAGCCGGTCGCATGATTAATATTTTTCGTCCGCTCCTGCTGAATCAGATGTTATTTTTTTTTCTTCTGTAGCTGGAAACCTCTCTTCGATATATCTATCGATGTACTGTCTAATGCAAAAGTCCCTGTTCCGCGCATTGCAGAAGCACGTGTCGAGAAAGAGATCCATGGTAAAAGATCTAAAGTGCGTCTGAACCATTCTCGGGGACCTCAACTCCCTAATCCAATCAACCAATCAACAAGCCTCGGCACCACCCTCCGGTTCAACCATACACTACTCTTTCCGAGATATCCGCTCGGCAACAGTCTGGTCACTTCGCGAGACTCTGAAACATGCTTTGCTGGTCAGTTCGTTGTGTTAGCAACAGCCAAGATCTGCAATCCTATATGGGCCGGTTGGTGGTCAACGTGGTCTCCGCTTCATCCGCATCGTCATCATCATCACCACCACTATCATCATCATTATCATCGTCATCCTTTTTCCTTTTCACACCGTCGGGTGCCGTCACCGGTCGGGGTATTCCGGTGACGCGGTGGATTTTTTTTTTTGGTGGACACGAGGATAACTTTTTTTTAAAGAGGGGATTTTACTATGTAGAGAGAGCAGGGCGCAGATCCCCAGCCAACCGTGTTGTTATGTATCCCCACATTGACTCAGGTACACGCTTTGCAGGAACCCTTTTTCCCCACATGCGGCGGGCGGCCTGACCTGGGAGCCAGCGAGCGGACACGCACGCACAACGCAAACGCAAGCCTCTCCCGGCGATCCCGCATTCCAGAGGAAGGGGTCTTGGCTAGGTAGAAGGTTGTATGACCAACTTAGCGGGTCGTCAGGAATGCTAGACCCTAGTGTCGTGGGTGGTGTCGTGGAGAGCAGGGCATAGTAAGGGTCTTATTCAAGCTATCAACAGGAGCCCCTCACGTCATTGGTTTCAGTGCTTTCCATCACGCCCGGCTTCGGGACATGAGATGCAAGTAGATAATCTCTGGATGGCCTTTCTTCTTTTTTTTTGGCCTTATATTTTTTTGAATGCTGCCCCTGTGGTGGCAAACCATTGATTAATTTGAAACGAAACTTCTCATTGGCTTGATATTGTTAGAAAAAACGGAGGAGTTGCCAAGCGGCTGGGTTGCACAGGCAGGCTGCAGAGCAGCGGCAGGTTGAGTTGCAGAAACGGGATGCATGTGTGTGATGCTGCATGGTGGTTGGTGAGCTGCATGCTTAGGAGTGTGGCTGTGAGGATTAGCGCAACCACGCCGGAACGGGGGCCTCTCGAACACCCCGACAGGACGTTGGTTCGGCTTGGCTTGGCCCTTGGATCATAGGCTCGGGCCAAATGGCCGCTGGCGCTGGCGCGGCGGGCGGCAAAGTGGGCTGCCAAGTTGTCTTTGACGACGGAGGTGTCTCGCGAAGGGAAGGCGTAGGATCTCGGCGTGGTCTGGGAGCCGGATTGGGGTGGAGATTAGACGAGGCTGGGCTGGGGCTGCTGTGCTGTCTTGTGGTTTTTCCTTGAAGATCGAGTGGACGGGCTTGTCTGAGGTCGGGACGATGACGGAAGGGCGGTGCAGCACGGTGTTGCGCACCGACATGGGGTGGGGCATCGGCCTCTTCGAGGCTCGTCGCAGGCCTGGCGCCGTCTCGGTGGTGGTCTCGGGCGCGGTCGCAGGCCCGTTGCAGAATCAGGACATGGTGGGGCGGACGTCACGGCTGTGAGAGGAAAGGCGTCCAGCTCCTTTTTCTCCTTCGTTGCTGTTTTGGTCAGTGGCGCTGGCAGCGGCGGGCAGAAGCTCCGTCACAGGAGGCTGGAGGCTGTTTGTCAGGCGCCCGGCTGGAGCTCAGCAGCAGTGGGGCGGCAGATCGGCGAGACGGTGAGAGCGCCGCATAGCACTAGGTAGGAAAAGTCGGCCGTGGAGCTGGAACCCAGGCGAAAGCATCGAGCAGCAGCAGAAAGCCGGTCGGCGGCTCGCAACACGCCCGTCGCGTGGATGCAAATGCCATGGCGCTCTGCGGAGATGAGAGAAAGCAGGGAAGGTGCGCCCGGAACGCGGCTCGCCGCAGGCCTGGGCGGCGCCAGCCAATCCAGCATGCTTTCGGGCGGCTCGCGAGCGCCCGTCACCTAGAGGTTAATTGCCCTGTTTGCGAAGCTCCGTGCGCCGCCCATTGAGCCGCATTTTCCGGCGCTGTGCCGTGCTGCTGCCGTGCTGCTGCCGGCTTGCCTGCTTGGCTGCAGGGCGCTGATCAGACACGCGCGCCGCCGAGCAGCTTCCAAGACGCGAGTCAGAGCGGTGCCGCAGCGCTGTCTCATGCTGTTTTTTCTGTGCGCGCGGAATGCCAGCAGAGAGGCATCTGGGTGTGACATCAGCCGTCGGTGGACGGGCGGCCTGAGCGCCGGCGCAGGGCGCGTGCTTCCGGGGCCAAGCACCAGAAGCAATGCTCCATTGCGCCATGCTCCATCGCGACAACCGATCGCCCGGAGCGCACGGTGCCAGCGCCACGAGAATGGTGCTGGGTGCTCGCCGCAGCCGCCAAGATGCCGTGGGTTGGGCAATCGCGATGCTGCAGGCGTGCAGGCGGTGCTCGAGGGTTGCGGCAAGCGCAGAGGCTGGCAGCTCTCCGCCGGGCAGGGAGTGCCGGATTGCTGGATGCACACAAGGATGCGAGGATGCGCTGCACTGCGAGGGAGGGTTGCGGCGTGAGCTGTCAGCCACAGGCTGGCGACACGCGTCGCAAGGCCAATCCATCACGTCACTCTGCGCGCCTGCAGCTCGCAAGGAAGCGGCGCGGAGGGCAGGAGCCACATCTGCCGCTACCCCAACCCCCCAGCTGCCTTTTATTCTCTGCACGCGCCGGCCCCAGTGCGCCTGCCCGTACCACCACCACCTCCTCCCCAGACTGCCGCTCGCTCAGTCAGTCTCGCGCTGAATCTTCAGCCCCGCTCCGCCCACGCCAGCCTCGTCCTTCTGGAGCTTCCCCTCTCCTTGTTTTCTGCCGGCAGTTTTTAGGACCCCAGCTTCACTTCCAGCATGCTACCAAGGATATCCCGCGTGGCCGGCGCCCTTTCGCTCGCCGCCGCCGTTGCCGATGCCCAGTCTACTGTTTCCATTACGCCCACTGCCGCTGCGGCCAAGGCTAGCGGCATTTCCCAGTACATCCCCCAGGACTTTGCGGGTTTTGGTTCGTCTTCCGTCCCCAGCGCGCGCGCGATCATGGTGCTGACAGTGACCAGGAATCGAGCCTTCCAACCTGTTCTCCTTCTCCGGCGCCGAGACCGCCAATGAGTTTTCCGTGAATCTCATGGAGAACTTGGCCAACTACACCGGCAAGCCTGGCGTAATCCGCCTTGGTGGCAACACCGAGGACTACTTTCTCTACCAGGCCGATATGAAAGAGTACACGATCAAGACGAACGAGAACTCGGTTGGTCAAGGCGCTATCGCCAGTGATGCCGACATCATTGGCCCCTCCTTCTTTGAGGCTGTCAGCAGGTTCCCCAAGGGCACTCCCATCGTCTTTGGCCTGAACCTTGCCTACTTTCAGGCCGACTACCTTGACCAGATTACTCTGATGGCCCAGGCTGTCCTGAACAACCTGACCAACGTCGAGCTGATTGCCTTCGAGATTGGCAACGAGCCGGACTTGTATCTGCAGAACGCCTTCCGCAACGGCACTTGGGACGGCTCGACCTATGTTGACCAGTGGAAAACGCGCGCTGCCGCTGTCTACGAGCGCGTCCTGAAGCCCGCCGGCTTGCCCGTCAACTTTTTCGAGGGCCCCTGCACTGCCAGCACCATCGGGACCACTTTTGAGATGTCGACGCTCGTCGACGAAGGCATTCAGAAGGACGTGGAGAGTAGCAGCAACCCCTACCTGCGCGCCTGGAACCAGCACGACTACCTGTACTTCATCGACGTCTCCACTTTCCCCATCACCGTCAACTGGATGATGAACCTGGACAACACCGATTCGCAGTTCGAGTACTGGGAGGACCAGATCGCCATTGCCCTCAAGACCGGCCTGCCCTACTATCTCCGCGAGATGCAGAGCGTCGGCCCCGTCGGTCTGGAGGGTGTCAGCAACACGTTTGGTGCTGCGCTCTGGAACCTCAACTTCTTCCTCTATGGCGCTGCCATGAACATATCGTCGGTGCAGATGCACATGACCGACAACTCCATGGCCGCTCCTTGGCAACCCATTGACCGCAACGGTGTCGCCAAGAACGTGCGTCCCGTTTATTACGCATATGCTGCCATGGCACAGTTCATCGGTTCGGGCAACGGTACCACTCAGGTTGCGGCTCTCCCCAACGACAATGTTCCTACCGACTACCAGAGCAACGTCCGCATGTATGCTGGCTATGGCGCTGGTGAGCTTACGTCAGTCATCGTCATCAACTCCATGCAGGTCAACGCCACTGGTTCCAAGAGCAACCTGCCCATCTCGCTCTCGCTGCCTGACTACAAGGGTCAGACCCTCTTCCTCTCGCGTCTGACGGCTGATGGCGCCGATTCTACCACCGGTACGACCTGGAACGGCATGTCTTACTCGGATGACGACGGCAAGGCCACGGCTGTCAACGACACTGCCGAGTCGGTCAAGATCGACAGCAGCGGCAAGGCCACCTTCTCTGTCCGCGACTCGGAGGCAGTCATTGCCTACATCGGCGCCCAGCTTGGCAGCAATGCTGTTACTGTCAACGGCACTTCTGTTGACAGGGACAGCTCTGCTTCCTCAACTAGCGCCAGCACGGCCACCCTCGCTGCCATCGCATCGACTACCCTCGCCATCGCCAACAGCATCACCGGATCTGCCGCATCCGCCACCTCCACCAGCTCGGCCGCAAGGACCGGTAACCATGGATATGGCATGACCATGCTTATGGCCTTCACCGTCTTTGCCATTGCCACCTACCAGATTTGGTAAAGAAATGTTTTGTCCCATTTGCCCAAGTTTTACAATTGATTTTCCATCTTCTTCGCATTAGTCCCCGGCGTTCGGCAATCTTGCATGGATGAGCTCATGAAACGGTCACGGTTTTCTCTTTCGACTTCGAGTCACAGCACCGCTACTTGAACAAACCAAGCAAGCAAAGGAACATTAGATTTCACGGCTTTACGGCGTCTTTTTTGCATCAGCGACGGATCTCCTTTTTTTGTTTCGCCTCGCTTTCCTCAAGCGTGGCCGATTTTCTATTGCTTCGTGCAATATCAAGCGAGAGATTCCCTCTTCTACCTTTCTCAAGTGTAGATGGCTTGCTTTTATCTTGTTTTCTTGTTCCTGCCTGTTTCTTTTCGAAGAGATGGACAGGACCAAGAGTAATCACGGCGGGGGAGCACCGATGAGAGGGATACGGTAGTTGGATATGGAGGTGGAGTAGGACGCGCATCCTCTGGGGCATGGATGGACGGTGAAAACAGGTGGATGGTACACAAGAAGCGATTGCCAGAAAGGGATGAAAGGTTGCTTTTTGCTCCTTCCGATTCCGCGGCAGCTGCCTGAGAGAGTGGTGGTTGTAATGTTAATAATTGATGTTTGCAATGTGGTTCAATCTTGTGTGTCTCCTCAACGCTTGTGTTCGCGGTTTGGCCATGGATGTGTGCCTGAGAGGGGTTTTAACAACGCCCCACTCCGCCATGCGTGCTATCATGACCCGTAGCAGACGGTGGACGGACGGACGGATGGATGGATTCAACGGATGGGTAATCAGTTGCCGTTAACGTTTCTTAAACCGTCAATCCAGACACGCGACATTAAAACCTACCTGCTGGTAGGGCTCACGAGCTGGAGTTTTTGCTTGTATCGCGGTGACGTGATAGATCAGGACTCCATGATGTCACGATAATACCGGAACCCTGGTCGTATCCTGGTGGTACGACAGGTCAAAGTCGCATTTATATGAAGACGAAGCAAGTGGGCGCTAACGTTTCTGCTGTAGAGACTACCCGCAGTTTGTCTCACCCTTGTTGACCATTACCTAACTTCCTCGCTCGTGAGACGAGAAGGGTCATTCGAGGCAGAAGGTTCCGAGCTGACTTGGCAGTTCTTTTTTTCAATTGAGCAAGGCTATCCATGGCAGGTGGTTACCAGCAAGGACCTACTTTGGACTGAGTGTATCTCCAAGCTAGTGACAAGGGACATGCCAAAATGGCGCCTGTACTTACCCCATCTTATCCGTAGATAGACGATTGTCTACTTTGCCAGCGTTGACCGAAAGCCTTGTCTGAGTCAACGACATTGCTTGAACGAAAAAGAAAGTCCCTGTAACTTTTTTCCCAACTAATCCAGCCCCATCTAACCAACCACGCCACCCATCCGCCCAATTACGACAGCAGAAACCTCAAATTGTCCCTCTCCGTGACATCCAGTCTGGCCCTCGCCACACGAGCCCTCGCATCAACCTGACTCAACTTCGACTGCCGCGAGGGCGCCTCGACCGCCTGGTCCAAACCATGGAACAACAGCGGCAACATCGATGACTTCCACAAAACGACGTCACTCCGGCTATTAACCCTAGCAGCTACAATCAAGATAACAGCGGTAAAGAACACCAGAGAAGCAGGCAGAATGAACCACACCCAGCGGACGTGCATGTACGTCTCATCGCGAAAGGCGAGGCCGTGGACGACGGTTGCGTTGCCACACTGGCGGATCGTATTGGACATGCTCTCGGCGAGGCCATCCATAGTGCGCGATAGGTTATCGGCTTTGAAGATTGTGTAGTCGAGTTTGAGGTATGAGTCAGATCCTGTTTGAGCTGCGATCTGGTTCGTCAGTTCGGTGGTGAACACAAGACCCATCATATGGGCTGTGCTGGCCATCCCAGCTAAGTTTGTGCTGAAGGAGGTATTCCCAGGAAAGGTAGACGGGGCGGTCAGATTGATCATTGTTTTTTCTCCAGTGGAGAATCCCGTTATGTTGGTTTCTCCAGCCGTCAAGGGCGCACTTGTTATAAGCCCCTGCTGAACTGTGCCATTGCTGATGCGAAAGTCAGAGTAACTGCGACTGCACCAGTAGAACGTGCATTCGGTGTATTGGCGCGAAGGTCGGAATATGCTATCGTGGTCCAAGTGCCCGAGGTCTTTCATGAAAAAGTGATGGGAGATATTCCCATGTACCGTGACCAAACCAAGGTCAACGTTCGTTTCATAGAGATTGATCTGCTTGTTGGCAATGATTGGTAGGTCGGTTGTTGATACAAACTGCTCCCATCTGTTTGAACGATTTTTCGGGCGATGTTTTTCGTAAATTGTATACGTCTGCTGTAGAGACATCCCTGATGGTGCCTTCAAAGAGCAGAAAGTCTCATTTATGACGGATCCTCTTTCTTCTCCCTTCATACGATTGCTTGTGCAAGTCTCGTTTATTTGGCCAGTAATGTCAGCGCATCTGTTGCAAACACCAAGGGTGATGAGATCAGGCCAGGTACAATTTCCGGTTTGGCAGTGGAAAGGCGGACCAAGAGGGCGGTCGAGTGAGCCGCCTAGTACTGCTGCCTGCATATCGGAGTCTGCATACATGCCTGCAATTATAGTTAGCACCAGTTGGGGACTTGGATGCGGACTAGTCTTACCGAACAAATTGCCACTTTGATTGTCGTGTCCCGTATCATATATCTGGGTAACCCGGGTCGTGGCGTCACTGCCGTGCTCGCTTGGAACAGGACGAAGTGGGTAATCGATGATCTGTTGAGCAAATGGATCCACAGCCATACCCGCTATGATGATCAAGCAAGCAAGCGATGCCAGCCAAGCCTTTCTGTACATCCTCCCAAGGAACAGAATGGAGCCCAAAGGGCCCCTGCTCGCATCGTCGAATGTTTGGAGGTCCTGAAGACGCCTGTGATGTTTAGAGAAGTGGAGCCACTTGGCCTGACTGATGCATTCGGTGAGCGGCAGTAGCAGCGCGGATCTAGCGATGGCGGCGAATATGGAAATGAGAGCATTGGGGCGTATCGGCAGGGTCCATTCTGAGAGCCGCTTGCCATTGATCAAGCCAAGTACAATAGCCATAGAGATGACGCAGGCTGTACTGAGAGTGACACTGAGTGATTCCCAGAACCACCAGTCCATCAGGCGCTGTGCTCGAGTTAATTGGATGGGAGCGTTTTCGGATGAAGCAGTGTTCGGGGGATCAGACTTGTCGTTGTTTTCGTTCTCCGAGAAGAGAAGTTGCGCTTGCGAAGAAGGTGTCGGAACGGATTCAAGCTCGATAGCCTTTTCGTATTCAAGCCCCAAGCCGAGTCGGAATTCCCGGCGGTCATCGCTGCTTTCGATGGATGAAGACCACGGCCCGCTTTGGACAGAGCCAGTTGGAGACACTCGAGCCTGTGGTGTATATCAGCTTGCTCAATGAATGGGGATTATGATAAGCATGCCATGGTGGAATTCGTGGAAGCGTGCACAAGTGAGGCCAATCAAGCACAGGGTGCAGAGCTGCGAGCTGCGAGTAAGCGAGTTGTAGAAGTTGAAAGAAGATCGCGTTTCGGTCGGGGACAGAAAGATATATTCATTGCGTACGCGACTACGCTAGGCCCGAAGTGGTAATGCTGCAACTCTGAGGAAGGAGCGACGGTGGCTATCGATAGCACCATCATCCTCTAATTTCAGCATTTTCTCTCTCTCTTACTCACGGTCCCCCGGCCCCCGCGGCCAGGATGTTGCAGATCCAACTCTCCTCCTCATCACCCCTCTTCCCACCCAACCCGCACCTCTCCCTTCTCACCAAAAACTCCCTGACCCCCTCCGCCGTCCACAACTCATCCGGCTCCGGCGCCTCGAACCTCAACTCCCTCCACGACAACAAGCCTGCGCCTCCCTCCAATCCTCCGCCTCCGTCTCCGCTTCCCCCTCCCAATCCACCACCCACCCACTCGCTCACCCTCCACAACCCCACCGCCAACCTCTTCACCTCCTCGACCCTCACCCACGTCACGATTCCCATCACCTCCTTCTGCTTCTCGCCGCCGCCGAACACGCGCATCATGGTCGGGTAGTCGAAGACGCCAAGGCGGCGGCAGGTGGCGACGAGGTCGGCGAGAAGGACGCGGGCGTTGTGCGTCGGGTGCTGGACGTGGTCCGCGGGCCCCGGCGAGGCGAGGGGCAGGCCGTAGAAGGCGGCGAGGATGAGGTGGATCAGCATGGCTTGGAGGGTGGCGAGGGGCCAGGGCGTGGTGGCGCGGTCGGCGGCGTTGGGGGGGATGAGCCATTTGTCCTGAGTGGGGGTGGGGGTGTTAGTGTCGGAACGGAGAGAGGGGGAAAAGGGCTAAACGTACACGCTGCTGATACAGCATCACCATCAACCGCCTGTGGAGATCCAGCGCCACGATCCGGCTTGCCGTCGCCTGACTGCCGCCATCGTCTACAGCACCGCTGCCTCCACTGCAGCCCATCCAAAGACTCGCCGTGACCATTGATAGCAGTAAGAACGGCGGTTCCCGCTCCGCGCGAAACGACCCTTTGTGCAAGAAGAGCCACTTGGGGTGGAAGACGCGCCAGAAGACATCGATGTGGCGGCGGATGCAGGCGAGGTTGGGGAAGTTGGCCCAGGCATGACCACCGCTTTCACTACAGTCCAAACCACCCAAGCCGGCACTCAGACCGCCGTCGTCGTCGAGCGAGAAGTTGTCGGGGATGAGCATCGAGGCGTCGAGGGCGAAGCCGAAATGATTGGGCTGTGGTATTGAGGCGGCGTACGACGACAGATCATGCGTCTGCATGGTGGGGTCGACCGAGTCGACGTCGAATAACGGCGGGGGCGGCTGTTGCTGTGGTAGCAGGGCGCGCGGCGTGGGGAGCTGATCGTTGTCGACGTCGTTCTCGGCGTAGGCGTTCTCGATGAAGAAGTAGGGGTGGGTTGGTGTTGGTGTGGCGCTGCCGTTGTCGTCGCTGCAGAGATCGTCGTCTTGAGTTTGCAGCTGCGGTAGCGGCGGCGGCGGCGGCGGCGGCGGCGCGGCGGGGGCAGCATGGTTATGGGGCAAGTGGTGGATATTGTTATTGCCTCCTAGGCCGTTGTAGGTGCAAGCCAAACCCTTCTCTGAGCACGTCCGGCACGGGGTGTTGCCGTCACAGCGAGTTTTGCGAGAGCGGCAGACGTCGCATGCCTTTGAGGTACGGGACCTGGTCAGCTCGATGTCTTCATCGTGGAGCTCAAGGTGCCGGCGCAGGATATCTCTGGGGACGTGTAAGCATTATCTAGTCGTTTGTTTTGTGGCTAAAAGACTGACCTGCGGAAAAACTTCCGCGAACAATAGTTGCAGGCATATCTCGGCTCCTTGGTGTGCTGTTGAGCATGGCGGTTGAGGTGCTCTTTACGGCGGTAGGCGGATGCGCAGCCGGGATGCTGGCAGCGGAAGACGGCGTGCGGATCGTCGGCGGCGACCTTGCGGCGTTTCGCTCGCGGTTCGTGGCCCATTATTCGCCGGCGGTTGTGCGTATCCCATTGGACGCGGCACTACTGGGCGTCCCGACCGTTCCTGCCGTCATCAGGTAAGCAATAAGGGTACGGGTACGTACAGGTGGGATGCCGACCGTATAAGTACCGGTCCGACCATGCTGCTAAGCATTTCCGGCACGACCCGATGGGATGCCGGTGGGATGACCAAGCAGTGACCAAGCAGCCTCTCACTTCAATGTGGACGTCAGGAGCACGGCTTGGCTTCAACAACCCCAGCATGAGATGCAAGGGTCTCACGACACCGCGTCCGAGGGAAATTAGACTGACTCGAATTGAACATGATGCGCGCTCATCTCTGTCGCTCTGGCTTTGATGTGGTTGCAAACCGCCACCGCTAAGTAATGCCATCGTGCACGGCCCATCCTATACGAGACGCCCAAAATAGAAACACGCTAGACACTCTAAATCCTCTTCATCTTTCGCACCCAGATGAAGAAGGGTCACTTCAAGACGCCAGAGTTTGCAATATTCATCACTGCGATTCAGTAGACGCAATCTCTGCCTCGTCTCCCGGTTGACTACCTACACACCGTCTCCCGACGCTGACATGAGCAAGTAAAGCTTGGACCCCGTAGCTTGCCGCCAAAGTGCTTCCTGATGCAATACGCGCTAAAAACCCCAAACCACCAAGAACAACAGTAATTGCAACCTTCAATCCTCCATGATCAGTTTTTTGTTTTTTTTTCTTCTTTTCCAAATCAGTGTGATGACTTGTGGGAAACGTTACGCCTGAAACACATTGTAGACAACAAGCCCGCATGTTTGGCCAGTTAATTGGCATTTTAGTGTTTTCGCTAAGACACCCATCTATCTTGGCAGGCGGTTGCAGCGTATCGTGATTTTTATACGGTGTGTTTCAGCCTTTATCAATCATGCAGTGCTTCATCAACTTCTCGAACAACGCTGTCACAGTAATTTACCGTGTACTCTGATGATAGGATATCGAGCAGAGAACAGTTATCTGATCGACGAGCCGACAGCAACACAGTTTTCAATCATGACACGATCAAATCAGCTCATAAAACGGCGAGGCAGCCAGAAGTAGGAAGGTCCGTCCTCCAGCAGACCGACATGAATTCAAACACAACGACCGCTCGTTGAAAAAAAACAAGACAACAAGCCCAAGCTCATTCACCAAACCTGGCCATATGAAAAACCCCCTCCCCTATAGCCACACGTGTCTGCGCGTCAGTCCGTAGAACCCCGTGCGCGATCACAGATCCAGCATGCCAACGCACCACCATGATTCGGTGATCGACTGATATCCACCATTTCTAATGCCGCTACAGTTGATCCGAGCCCTACCACAGACTAGTTCACTTTCCTGCCTGCTCCTTTTCACCCCGCGCACTGCCTCGTCCCCGCCGCATACACCTACATTCGCACCACACTCGCTCCCTATGCCTCCCTCCGGCCCGCCATGAGATATCCTTTTTCTTTCTCTCTTCCTGCAGCGCAGCATCTTGCTTTCATGCTGACCATCTTCATTGTGGCGTGATGGTGCAGCTCTCAGCAAAAAGGACATGGGCTGCTCTTTCTCGTGGTCCAAGCAAGTACTGATTGCATAATGCCCGACGGACGCAAAACAGTCGAGCTTTGCATCCGTCGGCCAGTCAGTCAGAAACCTTCAACGTTGATTGATTGGGTGCTTCTGTGAAACGAAGCAGGACTCTGGCGAGAAGTAAATGATTTTAAGGGGGGGAAAGGCGCTACGAGAGCATCACCTGCCGAACGTACGTACCGTGTGAGTCACCTGAACACGGCCACCGCATGCTCAGAAGAAAGATGAAGTCAGGTGAATCTTTTCCAATGCAAGTCGGAACTTGGTCGCGATAGTAGTCTCAGATCTGTGATGTTCTGTATAGAAAACTGCAAATCAGATATACTCCGGGTATTGTACTCCGCTCTACCGATGATTAAACTCCCTATGGTCTCATTATCCAGTTCCCTTTGATTGACCGTCACAACCCTCAAGATTTTACTTTCCAAAACAATCCCTCGCTGTTCTCACCTTCCTCCCCCACCACAAACCTCTCCCTCCTCAACATATCCGATGCTCCGGCGGCCTCCACGGCACGCCCAAGATGTCGAAAATCTTCTTCTCATCCCTCCCCTCCACCAGCTCCCCCTCGGTGATCTTCTCCCTGCCCCACCCCCTCAACACATCCTTATACAGACCACGCTGATTCAGACGCATGCCCTTCCGGCTGGCAAGGAGCCTGATGCTGCGGTTGAAGATGTCGTTGCCGGTGAAGTAGATGAGGGCGGCGCCGAGCTGCGAGGCCGGGACGAGGAGCAGGTCGATACGGCGCCAGAGGGCCTTGTCTTCGGCCTTCGTCTTGAGCTGTGCTCCTTCCGTGTCGGTGGTGGCGGTAGATTGGGGTAGAGCTGACGCGCCGTGCCACTTGGTGCCGTGGTCGGTGACGGTGCCGTTATTATTCTTATTCTTGCCGCCGTGCGTGGCGAGCGCAACTTTGAGGAAGCCGTCGGCCGTGAGGACTGGGACGAGCTCCTCGAAAACGATCTGCTGGAGGCGGGCGAGATCGGCGGTGGGGTGGGATATGAGTACATCGATGTCGCCGCTGTCGGAGGCGCCGCGGCGGTAGGACCCGCCGACCGTGGCTGTGGCGGCGGGGTCAATGGCTGTGAGTGCGGCTTGGATGACGGCGCCGTGTGCGGTGACCTCGGCGCGGGGGATGCGGGTGTTGAAGTCCGTGTAGTGGGCGAGGCCAACCTTCTGGTTGGTTGTGAGAGGGACGTTATTGCGGGTGAGATCTTCGAGAGTGCGTAGGCCGGCCATGACCCATTTGCTGGCTTTAGATAGACCGACGCCGTAAATTTTGAGAAAAGTTTGGAGAGCTTCATCACCTGGCTCGAGGTGGGCGTTGTCCAGGCGGCGGAGGCGGTTGGTCCAGACAATTTCTTCGATTTTGGCGGCGAGGCGGGGGCCGACGCAAGGAAGTTTGATGGCTTCCTCCTTTGTGATGATCTTCACGGTTTGCTTGCGTAGGACTGATATGGCCTTGCGGTAGGCGCGCGAGCGCCACTCATCCTTCGTCTGCTCGTAGTAGTTGCCCATCTCTGTCAGGACCTCTATCGTGCGGGAGTTCGGATTGGTTTCGGAAGTCTTTCCGTCGTTCTTCTTCATACACTGAAACTGTTCTGACGACCCGGCGTGCTGGTCAAGGCTGGTCTTTGCCATCTTTCTGGGCCTCTCATCCTCGGTATCAGAATCGGAACTTGCGCTTGCTTGCCCCTGGGAGTCCTCATCTTCCAGCTCTAAAGGCTTTAATCGCTGTCAGTAATCAATGGGTACCTATGAGACGAGCCTCGGGCAGGATGAAGGTAGGCTGACTTACGAGGTAGTCGGTGTTCTTGGCACCTATAATGATTTCCTCCAATGCATCGTTATATAGTTCTACTCCATTACTGTCCCCAGCCGAGCCTGCTTTGTTGTGTGTCTGAAAATCTTGGCTTGAGGGAGGCTGTTCGTTGTCAATCTTCTCTGACCTCAGAGGCGTTGCTGGCTCAGCTACAGGGACATTTTTATCTGCAGGTTGCGACGGTTGCGAAGCAGGCAAATGGATCTCGTCTTCTGCGGTCTTCTGATGAAGCTCTTCTTGTCCCTTCAAAAGGAACTGAGGCAGCTTAGGATCCAGGATAGAGCGCCAGATGAGGCAATCTGACGGATAGGTCTCGTTGACGATGATGAGGTTCTGAGACAGAGCATGGGGGAGGTGAGTCCTCACATCTTCGAAGGTGAGATCCTTATCCACGATGATATGGGTGATGTGGTCGCACCAGTCGACTACCCAAGTGGCGCCGTACTCGATTGCCTTCGCGATCCTCATGCGGCGGGCGCCGTTGATGTCATTGCTCGGAAAGAAATAGAACACCAGGTCTTTGAAGATGCGGCGGTTTTCAGGCGCGAGCTTAATCTTGGCTTCCTTCTTGCCCTTGCCAGGAGCGCGAGGTATCCGCTTGAGCTGGGCCAGAGTGAGGTTTTGCTTCGGGCTGGACATGGTGTCTCCCTTGGAAGACCGGACTGGGGACGATGCGACCCTCGGCGGTGAATAGGTAGTATCCGGGAGGTTTTCCGGCACGTGGGCTGAGGCAGGGTTTGGCGAGGGTGCGGAAAGGGTCCTCCCGAGCGGTGGGCGAGTGGTTGGCGCGCCGGCGAATGAGCGAAAGACGCGAGGAGGCTGCGCGGGTAAGCGAGACGCGACGGGCGCAGAGCGGCAGTCTGTCAGCAGCTTTTGTGAGGCAAGACGGCCTTCATCTGGCGGTTGATCGTCTTCGTCTTCGTCCAGCGCAGAGAGGGTGTCGTAGAAATGCTCCTTCCGGAAGAGAGGCCGCGCTTTCTCCTTCTCCATGGCTTGTGACGGCAAGGCTCTCCATAAGCGAGGGTGAGTGTTTGTGAGGATCTGTGTTTACTGCAAGACGTTGCACAAGGCAGCAGAGGTGAGCTTTGTTCCAAGAGCTGCCGAAAAGAGAAAGGCCGCCGCCGCCATGACGTATGTGCGCGCTTTACCTACCTAGTCTGCGCCAACCAATTCTTCACGCCCACGTTACACCTTCAACACCACCACTGTTGATGTCGGTGTAAGCTTACCGTCACGCGATTGGCGGAAACGTGTGTACTACTCCACCACGAAGACTGCCATCTAGCCGAGGAAAGAAGCTGACATACATATTTGTATACTTCTGGAAGTTGGCCGCCAGGGCTAACTTACCAGTATGACTGCATAGTGCTCGCATCCGATGGTCTTTTATAGACCTGCCTGCTTGTGCTCAGCTTGGGCTTCACTTACGACGGTATGGTTTTCTCAGCCATTTTATTTGCACAGCGCAAGCAGAACAGACACCCAATTGTCAGTGTGCTGATTGCACGACACGCGACGCGCTGCGGTAGTCTTCTCCCAGGCAGGGTATATCAGGTCGTTGATGCCTGCGCCTCCGTCAAGCAAGAGCTACGCCGTTAGAACTGTGAGCGGAGATATGCGCATCTACAGTTTAACGTTGTCTTTAAGCATCACTCCAGGCGCCACTCACCTGGCCATGGTCTTCTTCATTGAGTATGTCTCTGAAGGTGGCTCCTTTGCTGAGAAGGAATTTCCCCATTTCCAGATCACCCATTTGAAAAGCTACAAACAGCGGAGAGCGACGAGTGTAAGTTTGGGTAGGGTGTCGGAGGTAAGAAAGGATGCCTGATTTCGCGTTCCAAAAATATGTAATTCCGACCTTCATCAAGGTAGAGCTTCCTCACGCGCTCTTTATACGGCTCCCAATCATCCGGCTCGAGTACTCTCCATAACGTGGTGTTTTGACAAAGACTTGCAACACCATACAAAATTTCACATTTAGAAGCAATCATGGAGCTAAAAAACGCCCGGTCGGTATGTTAAGAGATGGCATAGCCAAGAAGGTTGTCAAGCTACACCGTAAGCCCTGCCGTCGCTTATAGAATGGCTCCACCTCCGGTGTACTGGACCAGCTCCGACTGTCCGTAATGCAACCTTATATGTTCTTCGAGTAGAATTACAAAATGTATTATCTCAGAATCTCCACTGTCCAATGATAATGCAATCAAGCGACAAGAGCCAAGCCATCAAGGTACAGCGGGCTTCATCCGCGTTGAGACGGAAATAAATTCCGCACATGGCCTTGGCATGACGCAGACCGAAATTCCACCGCCCGGCAGAACGTGCGCACAGCACACATTTCCTCCCCGCACCGACTCCCCGCACCACCACAGCTTCCTCCACCCGTCCCACAACCCAACCATCCGATCCCGGCCAAAGCATCGCATCCTCAGCAATGGCCTCACCATCCCCTTCGCCCAACACCGCCGCCGCCGCACCCTCCGCCGACGAGCTCGCCGCCGCCGCCGCCAGTGCCGACCCCATCTTCAACCCCGACGAAGAAGCCGTACGCCTCCTCCACACACATACCCCCCTCACCATCACATAAATACCCATCTTCATCTCAACAACCCCTCTAACCGCACGAACCAAACGCGCAAAACAACAGTCCCTCCTCGCGACCGCCAACCAGCAAAAAACCCACGCCAACACGCTCTTCACCTCGGGCGCCTACAGCGACGCCATCTCCGCGTACGGCCGCGCGCTGGCCAGCGTACCGAACTACTTGGACTACGAGGTCGCGGTGCTGCGGGCGAACGTGGCGGCGTGCCACGTCAAGCTGGAGGAATGGAAGGAGGCGGTCACAGCGGCGGGTGAGAGTATAGAGAGGCTGGAGGGTCTGGATGGGGCGGAATCGGGAGGGGAGAGCGGGAGTTCTGAGGAGAAGAAGAAGAAGAAGAAGAAGCCGGGACAGGACGACAAGGACAAGCCCGACCGCAAGGCCAAGCTGGACCCGAATGCCAGCGGCGTGGTGGAGGAGCTGTCGGACAGCGACGAGGAGGAGGCCACGAAGCCGAAGGCCGCCGCCGCCGCCGCCGACACGGTGACGACAGAAGCAGCAGCAGGAGGCTCGCAAGGCGCGCAGCAAGACCAACAAAACGAAGACGAAAAAGTGGAAGCTCAAGACCACGACCACGACGACCACGACGCCGCCCTCCTCCGCCGGCGCCTCGCCCACCTCGACCGCCTCTCCCACACCGCCACCGACGTCCGCAAGCTGCGCACCAAAGCGCTGCTCCGCCGCGCCAAAGCCCGCGCCGCGCTGGGCACGTGGTCGGACCTGCAGGGCGCCGAGGACGACTACCGGGCGGCGGCGGCGACGCCCGGCGGGCTGGCGCCGCTCGACAAGAAGGCCGTGGACCAGGCGCTGCGCGAGCTGCCGGCGCGGCTGAACGCGGCCAAGGAGAAGGAGGTCGGCGAGATGATGGGGAAGCTGAAGAACTTGGGCAACGGGCTGCTGAAGCCGTTTGGGCTGAGCACGGATAATTTTAACTTTGTCAAGGATGAGAAGACGGGGGGGTATTCGATGCAGATGCAGTAGTGTGTGTATGTATGTGTGTGTTGTTGTGGTTGGGGAGAGGGTGGGTGCGGAGGTAAAAAGGGAAGGGAGAGAGGGCGTGGTGGGACGATAGACTCGTCCGTTGCTCAGGCTTTTTGGTAGAGGATACGAAAGAGATGATATGCTTGTCATGATCCTGTTTGGCCCACAATAGATGGTTATATAGATTGGTAGCCTCAACGCAGCGAAGCACACGAATGGCTATTCTGCTATCTTTGGGAATCGGTGTATAAGCAGGACCATCAGCGTCCAACCTTTAATAACGCTTTCGCTGCCTTCACCTGACTAAAGAAACGCGCTATACACATCATGGCTGAATATCTATCTACACGAAAGCTAACGTCTTTCAATGCTGCAGATGCCCAATTCCCGCCACGTCTATTGCTGACGCTGAAACGCGTCGTCTATGCCCTATCCGTTTCTTTTTCCACAACCTCTATTCCCTCTCGATCCCCGCCACCAAACGCCCTCCCTCTCTTCCTCACACAACCTCAATCCCAAACCTCTCATACGGAAAGTCCACCAGACTCTCCAAATGCACAGCCCACCCATCCCCAATCTCCCCAACCCTCCCGCTCCTCTCGTCATCCAACCCCTTGTGCTCGCCCGTCCTCCCCGCCAGCACCTCCCCCTCCCTCCCGCGATACTCCTCCGCCAGCCCCGGATGCGGACACCAAACGACCTGCATGCCCGCCCTCCTCCCCGCCTCCACGCCGGGCACGCTATCCTCAAACACTAAGCACTCCTCCGGCCGCACCAGGTCCTCCTCCGCCGCGCCCTCGCGCCTCAGTCTCGCATTGACCGTCTCCAGCGCGAGCAGGTAAATGTCCGGCAGCGGCTTCCCGCGGCCCTTTTCGATGCGCGCGTCGTCGCCCAGGACGCGGTTCTCGTCGGGGAAGACGGCGAAGAGGTCGGGCAGGTGCGCCGTCTTGAGCGCGTAGTTGCCCGCGTGGCTGCTCGTCGCGAGCGCGACGTGCACCTTCTTCTTCTTCTTCTTGCTGTCCCCTCCCTCCTTCTCCCCCTCCTTCGCCCCCCCAGTCCGCTTCGTCAGATCGTCCAGCAGCCGCACCACTCCCGGCAGCGGTTGGGCCTTGGGGAAGTGCTCGCGCTGCAGCGCGCCCTGTTTCGCCATGAACTCGTCGTGCGTGATGGGCAGCCGGGCGAAGGCGTGGAAGATGGCGGCGGCTTGGGGGCCGGGTCGGCCTTGCATCTGGGCCTTGATGGACCAGGGGAGGTCGGGCTTGCCGTATTCGCGGAGGACGGCGTTGGTGCAGATGGTGTAGAGGTCTTCGCTGTCGATCAAGAGACCGTCCATGTCGAAGAGGCAGGCGCGGATGGCGGGGAGTTTTCTGGGAAAAGGGGGGTTTGCGTCAGTGAGGGGGGGTTTCTTTTTTTTTATTTTTGGTTGGAGGGGAGTGTTGCGGGGGGGAGGAGGGAGGAGGAGGCCGTGGCGTGAGTCGCTTTTTCTTTTTATTGGGATGGGTAAGATGTAGGTTTCTGGGGCATTCCACTGTGCAAAGCATACGTACTTGGTCTGCTCGGCCATTTTGAATGGTAGAATGCGACGTGGAGCGGAAGGTGTGCTTGTTGGGTGGTAGAGGAAAAAAGTTGTTGATGTGGAGTGAAAGATGCACACGCAACGACGAAACACAAACGTGGGGTTAGGATCTGGCGGGGCGGGCCCAGGACATGACTCGTGTTCGTCAGGCACACGGAAAAATGATACCACACACCCTAGCTACTCGGCACCCTCTCCGCCCTGGATCCCTGCAACACATCGAAACTCGTCGGTCTCGACCGCGGCAAGCAAGAAAAAATCCCGAATACTCATGGTGCCCACACAAGTCTCTCATTGCCATCTATGATTGTTTGAGACTGACGATGTCATATCCTACATCTATCCGTGGTCGCGTGTACCCGTGATACTGCGTAAAAGATAAGAAAAAGGGAGAGAAAGCAAGCCGTAAGAAGCTGCAATAAGATGAACATAGCAAATCCCGATCATAACCCTGATCAATGAATCAACCACACACACTTTCCACGCCACGCACGCCTCGCTGACTGAAAGGCAAACAAGCAAAACTGTCATGTCTGGGCCGTGGCGGGTATTTCAGGATGATGCCCCAGAGAGCCATGCCACGCCGAAGCCCGAAAGCCAGAGCCAATCAACCACGCTCACTCCTTTTCTAAAGCAGATCCTCCTGCAAAGACGCCGATACTCTCCAGTGAAATGCCCGCTGAGAACGACAAGGAAAGGCAAAAGAAAATACACGAACACAATCAAGAAGGGGAATATTATGCTAGCTGCCTACTCGAGCACGAGAAAGGCTAGAGCGTAGGGCGTTATTACGGCACTAGACGGCCAGTCCCCTCAACGATGCCGTTGTGAACTAGAATTTTGCTGACGTAGAAGCACTCCCACTCCCGCGGGTCGCTGCCGACGAAGACGGCGTTGCGCCTTTCCGCGAGATACATGGGTGTGATCTTGACCTCGGCAAACCACTCCTTGGCAAGCGCATCCGACTTGGGGTTGATGGTGGCGTTTGTCGTCTGGTTGTTTGTCATGTTGTCTATGGGAACAACAACGTTCGTTATGGGTTCCGTCGTCGTCTTAGGAGGGACGCCACGCATCTTCAACAGCATGTGAAGAATGTCACTGAACCGTTCGCCCTGCTGACTGTAGGACGCCGGCGGTTTATCGAGAGGCCATCGGTTCGGATGCGGTTGTGAGAAAAGTGCGTTGGCAGCATCAGTTGCCGCCTGTGCGGTAGACTGCATCGATGGGGTAGCTTCCTGGGGCGGCGGAGCATCCGGCATGGGAACGTTGTGGTCAACGTTATTCTGGGCGTTCTCTGCGGCGGTCGCAGCGGCATTTGCGGCGTTAATGCTTCGCTCAAGCTCTGTCTTCAAATCCGCCGGCGGCACGCTATAAGTGCGGGCCGGAACATGCGCCGGGTTCTCCCACCTCTTGAACAGCCAGCACATGCGCTCTACACAGGCCAGAAGAATCATTGAGACCAGGAAAGTCTCAAAAGGGTTGGCTTGTTGGCGTTGAAGGAGGCGGCGCTCCAAATCGTTCATGACAAACTTGCTGAGGTTGGCAGCCCTTTTCTCCATGGCACCGAGTATTTGCGCATCGATAAGCCTGTAAGCCTCCGAATGGGTCGCAAGTTCGATGGGGAAGCGAGATGTTTGAGGGACCGACTCAAGGTCCTGTGGAGTCATGATGACGGGGTCCTTGAAGGGAGGTTGGGTGTGGTTGAAAAAGAGCTGAAACTTCAGGTCCGGCTCAGCGAGGACTCTGGTGGCGACCCACAATTCCAGCACTTTAGACAACAGACTCTCTTTGCTTTCAATTCCTTCCTTGTTCTCGACGCTCAGACGGTGCGCCATCACGAGTGTGGGTTTCATGAATGGTGATGTTTCCGCCTCATAGATCACCGGGCCAATTCTTTTCATGTAAGATTCGAGCTTCCCCCCGATATCCTCAACATCAGGGTCGATGATCTCCACATCTTGCATGCTTTCCATGGATAAGCCTGAAGCAACCAATTGCGGATCGATGGGCCCATTCACGCCGCGCAGGCCCTTCAGCGTGGTGAATGTCGTGTACATGGTGGGCTCAATATCAAACAACCGTGCTTCAATCCTCCCATGGACGTGTTCAAAGTGCATGTTCGCCTTGGCGGAACTGATTGAGTGGAACGCGAGGACGGAATGTAGTCCGGCCGAGTAAAGGTTGAACTCTTCAGCAATCCGCGTGCGGATGCAGGGATGCTTCCACAAGCGTGCGCTTTCGACGTTTTGACATGTGCTACACGGGCTCTCGCCAGAGCACTAGAGATTTGTTAGCGATCGTAGGACATGAACGCAAGTTAGGACACCATACCGGCTTCTTCAACATGCGACATCTGATGCATGCACCCCGCTTCCTGACCTCCTGGACCTCTTTGCGCCGGGAGTCTGAAAACCTGCCTCTCACTTTCGGCTTCGCTGGCTTGGGGTTCATACTGAAGTCGGTGGTAAAATGTGTTTGCTGGCCGTTTGGATTGATCGCTATGGGCCTGTGATATGTAGCAGATGCCGCATTTGGCGAGGGGCTGTGGGATTCGGGATGGTCGCGGGTCGCGTCTTGCAGCTGGAGCACTGGGTCGATAGAAGCCCAGATTCCAGTGCGTCCTGTCTGAGGGTTGTAGGCTGCTTCACCTGGACTCCCATGGTGTTCCATGGAGTGGTTCACATTTGGCATATTGGCGCGCAGTTCTTCTGCAGCCGATGCAGCCATGACCAAGGGTGAGGGGTGAGAATGTGTTGCGGCTGTAGCACTTGAGGCGGGAGGGAGTGTAGAGGAGGGCGGCGTGGATGATGCTGGCGGTATCGGGGTGCCAGCGGAATGGGGCGAACCGACGGCGAGGTGGTCGTACTGGTAGAGAGATTGCGGCTGTTGTGCGCCAGACGGTTCGTTATTATGTACTGTCAACGCGACAATTAGCATCTTCACTCATTGACTGGCTGATTCATGCAATGGGAGCGAGGCTGCCAGTGGTGCTACATAAGAGTCGGCTTCGTCCTCAAAAGCATTCACCCAAACGGGCATGCGGCTACAACGGCAGTCTGCCACGAGCTCGCGGTGCGGGCGCACGCGAACAAAGGAAGCCGGCGGGCAGCGCAAAGCTCGGTCGATGATTGGCGGGGCAGCCTCGCTCTCGGGAACATGCATGCAGGAGACTGGGATTAACGCACTTGGTGCATCTACAGCGCTACCATTGGAGTCGGGGTTGGGCTTGGGGTCGTGGTCCTGCACCAGAAAGTCCTCATACACGGGGCCGGGGTTTTGCATGGCATCGTCGCGCATGGAGCCGCGGCGTTCGGGGAGCTGGTCCGGATCGGGCGTGGGAATGCGCTGGCCGGAGAGATCTAGGCGCTGGCGCGACACTTCGGCGAGAGCCTCGAGGCGTGACATGCCCGCCTTGGGCGCGGCGTAGGGTAATGTCATGGGCTGGCTGGGGTTGGTTGCGCCATGCTTCTGGGCAGCAGTGACTTGGTGTGCAGGCCCCTGGGCGGACGAAGACTGTGGCGGCGGCAGATCGGGGACGGGAAGGTCATGGAATTGTAGGATGGCGCGCTGGCGATCCTGGGCCGTGAGGGCGGGACACTTCTTGACGAGGTGCGCGGTCAGCGTGTCGATGCGGCCCTTGGGAAACTGCGGTGAGAGTCAGTGTGGGTGTGGAGTAAGCGTATGTCGCGCGGAGGAAGCGGTGAGAGGCGCTGGAGGTGGGTGCGCGCGTCGGGGCGAGGCACACCAACCTTCTCGCCGCAGGAGCGGCAGGTGTGCTGGTAGCGGTTGCTGGCATCCTCGAGCTTGGGGCCGCGCTCGAAGAACTCGAGGATGAGCTGGTTTGGCTTGCGGCCCATAGCAGGCTGCGCGGGCGAGCCGTCAGAGAGGCGGCGGAGGGCTGTGGGACGGCCTGGCTTCTGCCGGAGGTTCGATGGCGGTCGGGAAGGCGGAAGGCGAGGGAGGGAGAAACTCTGGCCTGGCGCTGACTAAGTCTTAGCAACCTCGAGGCTGTGAAAGGCACGGCCCGACTCGGACGCCCGTGCGACCCTGACTCGTCGCGCCAGCTCCCCCACCGCCCGCCAGCGCCCTGTCCGGCCGCGGGATGCTGCTTGGCCGCGCCCTGCTCTGGAGAACGAACGGTGCGAGGCTGCGGCAGACACGCGAACAGGAGGAGCTGGGCGGGCCACGCAGGCGAGCACGCGAGCAGCCGAACCCGCGAGCCCTCCGCCCGAAAACAAACAAACCAACATCCACGGCTGCGCGGCCAGACAGCTAACACACTAGCTATCTCCCGCGAGGGCGCGCTTAGGTAGGCTCGCACCGGGGCGCCGCCGCCGCCGCGCTGCCGAACCGCCAACGGCGTCCGCGCATGTGCTCCAGCCCCGGAGCGGCTCCCACCGCCGCGCCAGGCACACACGTCTCCTGAGCGATGCAGTCCAGATTCGAGCTCGGGGTCAGATTGTATGCGTTGTTCGCGATCCAAGTACTCTGCACTACTACAGTCTTCTCATCGTTCAATACTCGTCTGTCATGCTGTCGTCAAAGCGTACCCGCTTCCGCCAAATCATGCCGCCAGCGCCTCGTCGCGCGCTGCGCGCCCCGTGTGCGTGTATGTGTGTATGCGTATGTGTACGTGAGTAGTGTGGCGAACTACCACCCGTTGCGCCTTGAACGCCCCTCCCCGTAAAACCCTCCCGTTGCGGTAATTCCCCAATACCCGAGAACGTTAATCTTTTTACTGTTTCATCCACACTTCTGTCCGCCACCGAGTTTACGCCTGCCCTTCCCACCGTAACCCACCGCCAGATGATGCCTTGTCCCGCTCGATCCTCTCAATACGCTCCCGCTCCTTCTCCCGCTCTCCGGCCCTCTTCCCCTGTGCTTTCTTCCGCCAGGTCAACCCCAGCGTGGCCGAGTCCATGACTGCGTTCGCCGTCTCCTCCTCGAACCTCTCGCTTCCCAAGGAGATGATCTTGAGAGCGTTGCCGAACCCCACAGCCACGCTCTTCTTGCCGATTCGCACAATCGGCCCCGGCTTGGACACGAACAGCTGCTCCTCCTCGAACTCGTCCTCCAGGTACACTTCACTCATCGAATCCCTGCGCGGACGGGGCAACAGAGGGGTCGTGTGCAGCTCACCGTCCGCCGACAGCGTCCATGCTTCCCATTCCTCACTTTCCGAGCCTGTGCTGTCCGGAGACGCGGCCGGGGGCTTTCGGTGGTAACCGTTGGCCCCGGGCGACCCTCCGTTCACCTGGTGTCCGCTCACATGCGACTTGTCGCGGCGTTTCAACATTCCGTTTTGGAACGGATTCGAAGATGCTGCCGTTATAGGAAAGTAGCTGGCATCCGACGATGTGGACCTCACCGCGGGCACTTCGCTCGCAGGCCGTTTCCGAATGCCGATAACCGAGGGTGTGCACGTCGCTTCCCAAGAGCCCGGTGACTTGACCGAGTGGACGGCCTCCGTGGCCCTTTCGAACCCAGAGCATGTGATGTGGTCATCTTCCCCTAGCGCCGGTGGCCGAAGGCAAATGAGACTGTTGGCTGATCCTTCGCTGGCGGCGTATGTATGCATTATACAGTCTTGTGTTTCCGAGTTGGTATATACAATCGAGAAGTCCGGTACAGTGGGTGAATGGCATCCGCATATGTGCCTCTTTGAATGGAGAACGCGGAGCGTATGCCCCTTGATCTGGCCCGTTTGGAAAGTATGCACAACGGTCCTTGTCGGTATGTCGATGAGATCCACTTGGGTTGACCGCACCGTTGCTAACATACATAGTGACGGTATCGGATATACGTACCTTACCTTGGAGTGGGTGGGGTCCGGATGCTTCCAATCATCAACAGCATCGAGTGTTTCAGACGCCCACTCACCGGATGAAGGGAATGACAAGTGAACTGCCCCATCTTTTGAAACGCTGATAACCTTCGGTTGTCCTTTGATGCAGCAGGATAATGCTGCGTTGGTGAATGGAACTTCAGATATTTGATGAGTCCAGAGATGACCGGTGCGGAAGTCAACCTCATTGAGTCGGCCGTCGGGAAAGACCACGAGAAGGCTCAGTCTCTCGACCTCGTCCATTTGATGGAATGCGAAAGCAAAGACGCTCGGCGATTGGCCTTTGATTTCAAGAACCCGGGACTTTACGAATCGCCGTTCGGCCAGGCTCCACAGGGCAACTCGGCCAGAGTCCGTCAGAAGTGCCACCCAGTGACCTGTGTCATCTATTGCGGCCGCAACTATGGGCCAGAGTGGAGGTTGTAATGCGGACGTCTGGAGGATCACATGCGAGTACACATGCGTCCGATGATCGAGGAACCAAATCGAGGTAAGACGATCCAAGCTGATCGCCACAAAATGTCCCTGGCTGCATGTCGCTACCTTCACCACGTCCAGCTCGTGGGACTTTGGCAGGCTTCTGACAGAAAGAGGCTGTTCGTCACCAATGCCTGATTCCGCATCCTCTTCCGGAAGTTCGTTCCAGAGCAAGTAGTTCATCAGAAGGGTGACGGCTGCGATGGCGAAAACAATCGCCAAAGCAAAGGGAAAGAAATGGTGTTCTGCCAGATCGCGGAGGACGATGAACACAGACGGGGTCTGATGGGCAGCCCCTCTGCGGTCTGCATCTTTCGTGACGACGGTCAGGGGCTCATAAACACGGGCAATGAAGCTGTGAGAACCTGGCTTGACGAAGTCAATGAGCTCTTTTGCAGAAATATAGTCCTGTATCTTCAGCCATGCTTCAGGCGTGCGGACCTGGTTAATTGGAGGTGGAGGTAGCGGGTCTATGACGTTGTTTCTGTTTCTGAGTCGGAAAAGCCGAAGGATGTTAACAAAGGAGAATGGCCTGCGATCGTGATCGAAAAAGTGCCAATTGAGAGCGAGAATAAAGGAGACCATGGCGACGGTTCCCGCAATTCTGGTGCTGAATGGAAGCTTCCCTTGAAGAAGTGCTCCACCCCATGTCCGACGCTCCACCTTCGTAGATGTGCTTGACCTGCGCTGTGTAGCGAGATTAATCCTGTCGAGGGAATCCTGGAGCTCCATCCTCCGTACATCCACGCTCAAGACAGCTACGAAGAACGTAAGGTGGAATACGAAATCAAAGACTAGGGCGACAGCCGCGAAGGCGCATGCTGGCGCTACACTTGGAGAGACAACTCGAGAAAGTAACCAGAGAATGAGGAGATTTTGAGCGGCTGCTGCAAGGGCCAGATGCCCTACATCAGCGAGAGCGTTTGAAACGCGAGTGACCGTTGGCATGTGCGCTGGACTTTCCAGAACAGCGTTGATCAAGCGGAACCTTCCGATCATTAGTTTTTTTTTGAAGAAAAAATCATTGAAGCCGATAATCCAGCGACAAGATGCGACGAAAAGAAACAATGAGATCAACACATACATGTTCTCCAGACCAATTACTAATACGACGAACGGGTAGGCTTCTCCGGGAACGTTGGCTAGGTTGATTCTCAAGATGCCACATATTGTGAAGCTAGAACAGATGGATATGAACATCTACAGTTGTCGCCGATTAGTCCAGCGTGAGGAGGAATCAAGAATGGATAGGTGCATACTTGAGCAATGACTGTGCAGAAAAGTCCAAACACACTTTTGACGGCCTTCAGCTTCCTCAGGCTAAACAGCACGTAGAACAGCATGAGGGAGTAGGCCAAGACAAGAGTCCACGCATCATTCATGCTCATCGGCTGGTATCGAAACTCGTAAAGACGATTCCTGTACGTGGATCCGGACTCGGGATAGAAGTTCCAGTCATCACGAGCATCGTGTGCCAGCTTGCGTGACCGCCTATCGAATTCTTCGGCGATAGCACCCCCAGAGCGATCGAATATGGTGATTACGAGCGCATCGGCAGCAAGAAGGCGGGTGCCGTTGAACGTCTTGCCAGCGAACACGGACAGCGGCTGCAAGGTGAAGTTATAGGACGAGCGGCGCCCCTGCTGCGAATTGATGGTGCGCAAGACGTCAACATCCTCTTCGAGGGCTGGCAGCGAGCAGTTCCAGTACATGAGCGGCGAATGGCAGCTCCAAGAAGCAACCTTGGAGACACGGTCGCTGCAGCAGCCCGCGAGCTCTTGCGAGCCTTCCACCGGGCCGTCGGCGGTCGCGTTTCCCTCTCCCGTGATGTTCACACCACCACCTAGCTCGCCACCGAGGCTGGGCCCGATGAGCGTGTCCTGGATCTTCAGCGCGTCGCGCAGCACGCGCCCGTCCAATGCCTTCATGTAGCTGCCGTGAACCCAGAGCTGGCGCATTTCCACGTCCGGGGCGACGTTTTCGGGGCCGTCATAGGCGCGCACGGAGGTCCAGACATGGTGGGGCAGGCCGCTGGCGGCCGGGCTCTCGTAGAGAAAGACGACTGGATAGCACAGGAAGACGGCGACGGCAACAGACAACAGCAGCGAGAAGAGCCAATGGCGGGCGGTGGCGTTCCCATAGCTGGCGAAAGCCCTACGGATGGGGTGCTCCGACGAGAGCTTGGGGGGCTCTGTGGTACTGAGTCGAGCTGTCAGCGAGGTGGTGGTGCTAGGGGAGCACGAGGCAGGCGCGCGTCGCTGCAGAAAGGCGCGGCGAGACAGGCAACGGCACGCGCTCCGGAACTCTGTCCGTGGGGGCTGGGTTGGTGGTGAAGGCTACTCACCCGCGGAATGCGTAGAGCAGGTACCAGATCATAGGCGGAGACGAATTGCATCAGGCATGCAGCATGGGAAGCGGAAGGAAGTAAGGGACTGCGGCGGGGACGTGGCTACGAGGCTGCCATGCGCAGGAGGAGAGTTGCGGGCGTTGGAGGCTTCACGGTGCGGAGGAAGCGATCGACGGCCGGGCAGCTGGGCAGGAGAGAGGCGCAACAAGCAGCTGGTGCATATTGGCTAGCTCGCCAGAGCGCAGCTAGTCGCTGGTGAGCTTTGACTCGAGCGATCGTTGCTGGGAAGTGCCGTCGAGCGCCGCGGCGGCATCGCGTAACGTCGAACAAGAACTCTGCCTCGTCTTTCCCTGACGCATCGCCATGTGCGCGCGCAGTCGCCTCGCTGCGCTCTGCAGCCGCCGCCTGCAACCCGCTCGCGGCGCCATGCGAGGGCGCTGTTGGCGCCGTGGGCTCGATTTCGCCGCATCCGGGCGGCTGTGCCCACCTGGGCCCGGAGTTCTCGCGCTCTTCTTCACCATTGCATCTCTGCGTCACACCCGAGCACCGCCCGCCCCACTCGGCTATTGGAGGCAGGGTCTGCCCTCTATCGCAAACCTTACCCGTGGAGGCGCCTGTGGCCGTTGCCACTGCCGCCGCGCGATGCGCGTCGGGGCGGAATAAAGGTGCGACTCCGGCGGGCGCATCGCGGGATCGAGCACATGCACATGGGTATCGCCCATCCCCGGCCCCACCGACATCGCCCGCCCAAGATCAAGGCGCGTAAAAGGGTTGGATTCGTCACACTAGCTCAGACCTGTCCAAGTGTTCCAGCCCGCCTCGAGCGGCATTGGCCAAAATGGTGCAAGCGGGCGCCCGCAGGACAGCCCCTGCACGCCAGCAAAATCCGCGGCTTGTCCATGACGCAGTGCGAGCCGCCCGCACCAAGGCCCGCTGCCCTGCATCGGCTTGTGGGATGCCGCCTCCGCCCCAGATGTACCTGTTCGGGCCGTGCGTGCAGCTCTCCCGCGCAACCCAGCGAGGATTCTGAAACACGAGTCATCCACCTCCCCGACCCTTGATCCACACAGCCCATGAGATGCCCTCGAGCCGGAATCTCCTCCGCCCAAGCTTCAACAGTCGACCATCCCGGCTCACGCGCCCTGCATCTCCTCGTCCGAGTCGCTCTCCTCCGCGTCCTCCCACTCCTCCACCTCGTCCTCGCCTTCCACAGGCGGCCCCAGGATCTTGTTGATCCCCTCCACAAGCTCATCCGCATGGTCTTTCAGCCGGTCATCCTCGTACTCCAGCAGTTGATACAGCCTCAGGCTGTTGCCAAGCCACTGTCTACTGGATTTGAGCAGGCCCTTGACCGTTTCCTCGTCCTCTGATTGTTTCTTCTTTTCCGCCATCAGATGCAGGCACCATCCCCCCAAGTACCACGCCTCCACACTTTGATCGTCCTCCAAGATTAACCGTTCAAGCACCTCCAGTGCTTCATCTTCCAGCTCCGCTTCCATCAACAGCCTAGACAGACTGATCCGCACGGGGAAGTCGGGGACCTTGGGGTCCTCGGGCTTGAGGTCCTTCCACAAATCCATGCTCATCTTCAATGCATTGCGTGCCTCTTCGTGCCTCAATTGTGATATCCTGACCGATGCGAGCGTCTGGAGAGATTCTGGGTTGTTCGGGTGTACGAGCAACGCTTCCGTGATGAGTGCTTCGCACTTCTGTTCTGCGTCTTCTTCCCATCTGTCGCATGTCAACACAAAAGGTCAAAAATGACGCAAAACACACGACACTTACGAGAGATCCGTCATGTACACCTCCACAACACCGCACAGCGCATTCGCAAGCTTCCTTTTCTTCTCATCCAGCGCTACATCCCTCTCGGGGCCGGCCTGATTCGCCTCCAGCTCCGCAATCTCCCTCCGCAGCACCTCAGCACCCTTGTCGAACCACGCGACGCTCTCCGCGCCGCCCTCCTCACACAGCTGCGCCAGCCACATGAACTTCTCCGCGCCGCCGCCCGCCTGCTCGGGGATGCTACCGTCCTCGTCCAGCGCCGCGGCCACCAGGAAGTAGTCGCGCGCCGTGTCGACATCGCCCAGCTCGACATTGATCTCGCCGAGCAGCGTCAGCGCCGGCAGCGCCGCCGCCGTCGGCGCGCTCGTCTCCGGGTCCGGGTGCAGCAGCGCGTACGCGCGGCGCGCGGCGACGAGAGCCTCGTCGGCCTGCGAGGTTTGGAGCAGCGCGGTGGCTTGCGCGAGGAGCTGCGGGGCTGTCATCTTGGGCTTTTTGTTGCTGTTGCTGTTTTTCGATTTTTTGTTGCCGTGCGGTTTTGTTTTCCCCATTGCTCTTGGGTTTTGGCGCGACAGAGCGATTGAAGGCGTGGGAGCGGCCCGTGTATGCGCAGTCCTCTACTCGATGGTCCGCTGTGGAGAAGTTGGGTCTGTGTGTTGCGGTGGGAGAGTCGAGTTTTTTTATTCAGCGCGCAAGAGCTGGGAGCTGGTTTGCTGCTCGAAAAATTGGGGGTCAAAGCGCGCCTTAGTGCGGATGAAGGCGGTGAGTCTGGCTTTCCCCGCTGACATCAACGCCGCCCGCAGCTCGCTCCCGCTCCCCATTATCCGCACGTACTTCACCATGGGTAAAGAAGACCAGACAGAAGAGCGCGAGGTGCTCGACTCCATCTTCCCCGATGAAATCACAGGTATTCCAAGCCCACTCTTGTCTTCTCTCCTACCTCACCTTTTCCGTCTTTTCTCTATCGTTCCACTGACAATTTTTCCGATTTGTGCCAGACATCTCCGACACGGAGTACCGCATATCGATAACACTGGACGTCGAGAACGAGCCCGGAGATGACTCCCCTGCGCGTACGACATCCGCTCTCAGCCGTCTCAGAATCTCTCACCACTAATCAAGATTCATGAGCGCAGCCATCATCCTGCTAGGCGTCTCCTACCCCGAAAACTACCCCGACGAAGCCCCCCGCCTCGACATCAGCGCGCCCCCCAATGCCCCCAAGCACAAATACCTCGACGTCGCCAGCGACCGCGACAACCTCCTCGAGGCCCTCGCGCCGACCGTCGAGGAGAACTTGGGCATGGCCATGGTCTTCACGCTCGTCTCCGCGCTCAAGGACGCCGCCGAGCTGCTCGTCACCGAGCGCCAGCGCGCAGCCGAGGCCGTGCGAGAGATGGCGGCGCGCGAGGCGGAGGAAAAAGAGAATGCGAAGTTCCACGGCACGGCGGTTACGCGCGAGAGCTTCTTGGAGTGGCGGGACAAGTTCGTCAAGGAGATAGAAGAGGCGGAGACGAGAGCGAGGGAGGAGAGGGAGGAGGCGGATAAGAAGAAGAGGGGACCGAAGGAGGAGAAGAAGTTGACCGGCAGGGAGCTGTGGGTGAGGGGCTTGGCGGGCAAGGGTGAGGAGGATTATGAGGAGGGGGATGTGGCAGACGGCGTGAAAAAAATGGAGATCAAGGCTTGAGAGAGTGTGGGTCATGAGCATGTGGCGAGACAGGCAAGAGCATTGCATTTAGCTGGTCTTGAAATAACCCGGTATGAAGGACGCTGGTTATGATACGATCAACGGAGCCGACGGCAAGGAATTGGATCACCCTTCATCTTCCCGTCCACGGAGCTGGCCCAGCATCTACAGCTTCCTTTCCTCTTTGGCTTGACGAAAGACGTTGAGCAGTAAAGCCGTAATCTGTTGCCAAAAGCCATTGGGGTCACCTTGATAGCATGGCTGCGTTAAAAGCTTCTCCGAATTGCGTTAGCATTAAGGAGCGTTTGATTCTCATCACTCCGTACCATTAGACAAGAGAGTATTTCGAAATGGCAAGCGGCGTTTCGTACTTTTACTTATATCGCCCTTAATGTTGTGTGGAGGATTTGTAATCTATGGATCATCTCTTTAGGAAAGCTTAAACGGCGGCTGTAGTTCGCGGGTTATTTTGCTTAGTGTCACATCTCGGTTCCCGCACTGGGTTAAAATTGGGCTGGTGGTGTGACTGCGAGAAATGAGTATCAGCCGGGGTGCTATTTTTACTTCTTGGTAATTCAGTGATATCATACCATACAATCCCATATAAAGTTCGATTTAGTGTCTTATGGTGCAGCGTCTCTTCATTTGGTGTTTCAGCAATCTCAAAATTCTATGCAGTGCCCTCATATTTACTCAGTTTCATAAGACCAGCCGTGAATGAGTTGTTCTATTCCCTCGTCGTGGACCAACTATGCCACTTCATTGACTTTATGCTCCACAAATCAACTGAAGAAGAAAGAATTCCCTTGAGCATCTTTCCTGGTGCCCTTGCTGTAGTCCTTATTGGGATCGAACTCCTCCCATATACTCGCCGGAAAGATATGCTTATTGCGCTCGTACCAACGTCGATCCACGACTTTGGTCAGTGTAGAGTCGTCGTTGTATCCTTCGAGCGAGACATCCTCTTCAGTAATACGCTGGTCCTTCTTCTTTTCTTGCCGGTCCAAAGGGTTGAATGTTGCAGGATCAATGTCCTCGTCTTTGGATGGGAGGGGTGTTGCGGACGTGGGCTGTGCGGAGTGACCAAAGATGGGACCGTCGAAGCCAATCGTCTTGTTTACCATGAAGTAGTAAAACTCATAGTGCTGAGACTGTTAGTATCCGTGCGTATGTTAGATTCTTTGGAAACTTACATGAGGAATGATAATCTCTCCGCGGACCAGCATAAGATCATCAACTCCGACGCGAGCCCACTCTCTTTTGCTCTTATCACCACCAACACCAAGCTCAGCGCCCGCTTTCCTTGCTCTGTCTAGGAACAGCCAGACATGCTCGCCCTTCTTGATCTTGCACCTCCCACCCGGAATATTGGTACCGTCGTAGAAGACGAACGGGATAACAAAGTCTGTCGCCTTGACCGACTCCTGCATGATCAAAAACTCCTTTCGCAACTGCTCTCTCTGTTGCGCCTCCCGCAGTAGGGCGGATTTCGTCATGACTTTCGGCTTGAAAGACACATTGTTGTTCGCGCCGAGCTTCTTTTTCGAGACCGGAGCAGCATCCTTGTCCTTATCCGACGCTCCGTTCTCATCAGGTGTGCCATCATGCGGCGTCGCGGCCGCCGGTCCCTCTTCCTCTTCGTCGTCTAACCCAAACGACAGCTTTCCCTTCGCCACATTCTTCTTCTTCTTCTTTGCGGGCCGCGGCGTCGATCCTCTGTACTTTGACAATTAGCTTGGCGACCCATTAGAAAGCTCACAGCGGGCGCGCAAGAACTTACCCGTCCGCAGGCGTGCTCGTGCCGGACGTGGAACCACCCCGAGCTTGTTCTTGTCTCTCGCGGTCCTTCAGGTCGAGCGCTTCGGCGCGGCGCTTGCGGAAGTCGGAGAGGTGGACCAGGCCGACTGTTTGCGATTTGAGCAGATCCTCAGCGGTCGAGGCCTGCGACGTGAAGCGCGAGTTCGCGGCGTCCAATGCGGAGGCGGTGGAGGAGGCGGCAGGGTTGGGAGTGTTGCTTCGCGAGGCGTCGGCGGAGGAGGGGGTCGAGGGGTCCATGGCGAATGGCGGAATGGGGAAGAGGAACGGTTGCGAGAGCGGAGGAGAGGTTTGGCGGATGATGAGCGGAGGAGAGCTGCGTTTTGAAGAAACAGCGCCGATGCGGGAGGCGTAGGGCTGGCATGCCGACGGCGAGGATCGGCAGCGGCACGGATGGGGCTTAGTGCTGTGCGTCAGGCACCACACTTAAATCTGACTTCACTGCTGCCTCTTCGTCATCTCACACCTGGCACGGTGAGATCTTCGAAAGACGCGATCTGCCTATAAGGAAGGATGTGGGAGCCTGAGATTGGTGTGGTTGTTTCGCCCATTTGGTAGTGAGAGTCGAAATGGTGGGTTTGTTTGTCAGTATCGTTGGGCAAGAGCTCGGCGTGACGATTGCTGTGGCGCACCTTCTCTTTCTGAGATCTTGCCTTCTCCTCGCACGACAATTTGGAATCACCTCTTCTCCGCATCCAAAAAGCGTGTTTCTGTATCCTACATCTATTGTCTCATCCATCATGGATTTCACGCTTCGCTGCAACTCTCTCAAATGCCGCACGCTGCTCAGTGATAGAGCAGTCGTCACTACATGCAGGTAAGCCTCTCGGCTCCAACGAAGAACTCCGATCTGAGCTCTGGTAGCCACATCTTCTGCATCACCTGTTCCAACAACCTCGGTCTTTCGAAAGTGGACAGCACTGTACGCGTATGCCCTGCCTGCGATACTCCCTTGAGGAACCCAGATGACGCTGTCGAGACCTGCCTGGACCCTACAGAGGACTACAAGACTAGCGTTCTCAGCGGCTTGAGTCCGACGATTGTTATGGAGTGCGCTGGAAGGGCCTTGGCATTCTACAGCTACCAGACCACTCAAGAGGTGTCAGTGATAAGAAATCATTGTGGAACACCGCTGACGGAGACATCAGCATGTATCAGGAATACCTCGCAAAGAGCTTAACCGAGAAGTACACTATGCTCAACTCGCAAATGGATAAAGTTGTTCACGACGCCAACGCCGAGATCGCCAGCCTACGAGATAAGCTCCAAGGTACATTTGCTCACAATCAGGCGTTCTGATTCTGCTGACCAATAAAGCTGCCCAGCAAGAGCAACGACGTCTCGATGATGAAATGCACAAGATGGCAGACGCATACCGGGAAAAGGCCAAGACCCAAGCGCACCTCCACAAGGTCTACACGCAACTCAAGGCGCAGGTTCTCGCAGGTCAGGTTGCTTCTGCAGCATCCGATGATGCCGAGGCAACCTTGGAGTCAGCCACCGGAGACCGGTTCATCGACAGGATGGCCGGCACAGCTGGAGGACATTCCAGGATACCTCACAATGCCAATGCTATGCAGCTTGGTACACGGAACAGGAGTACTGGTTCTATCGGTAGCGGCGATGGCTTCCGTGGTGCTCAAGTACTCAATGGCCGTCTATTCAGCGCGCGTAAGTGTTGTCGTTATAGTTGTCGTACACGCACATGTCTGACTCTTCCACAGAAAAAATTCCGCTCAGTGGTACACCCCAACACCGCACCCGTCTCGGCGAACCAAGTGGCCAGATGTACCACCCCGCAGGCCGTGGTGGCGTCCAGGGCACACCTATGGCTCGACCACCTCTCGGCAATTTGAACTCGAATGCATTCTCTGGATCTGGTGCGAGTGGGTACGGACTGAGGGCGGGTATGCGGGCGGGAAAGCAGGCTTACCCTGGAGCTGGGCCTAGCGGAGGATTCGACGGTCGATTTCCTGCGCGTGGGGTTCGCTGACATGGAGCTCTGTAACGATTCATGGGCAGATTAAAGCAGTGTCCGATTAGTCACGAAATCTCGTTCGAGAACCATAATGCGAGCCAATGGGTCGGAGCACAATAGACAAAGGCCACCATGATTTAAACCCCTCAACTTTGAGTCTTACAATTTCGAGCCAGGGAAAACTTTTCCAGTTGACCTATGAGTATTATGCTATGCAAGATCCCCCAGTGATAGAGCTTCCGCGACAAGTAGTCTCTTAGCTGCGGCTAACAAGATTGCAGTCAATCACTATGGAAGGCCAACCAAGCCGCAACTTCGATGAGGCGCGGCATCAGTCGGAAGGCTTTCTGCCTTCTGGTACAAGTTTTGGGCTACATCAATTCAGTGAAACCAAGACCGGCACAATGCGTGCAAAAGCATTCTCTATCAGTTCTTCGCAAGAGACCCAGTACCTTAGTTTTGAACGTAGACCCAGATTGATCCTCGCTACTGCCACAAACTGTAATATTCTCTGCTTACATCCAGGTTTTTGTTTCGTGGCTTCTGCAAGCAACCGAGGGGAGCAAATGCTTGAATCTGACAAAGATTCGATGTTGCAGCATACGGCGCAGTGCATACAAACGGATTTCTTTTGTCTACCATTGAAGTGATACATGCACAGCAGTGCTGTCTATGCGTCGTCGTGAATGTTCCTTGACTCATGATAATGCAAACAAAGCAGGAAGAGAACAAACACGCAGGTGCATTTCACATATACTATGAGCGTTCCCACTTGGACACAGCTTTTAAGTCCACACAGAGCCATACTTCAGCACCCACGACCTCCACCACATAACATCGCGCATAACATGACACAGCCGTACAACCTTGAAGGCAAGCAAAATGCGAATGTCAAGCGCGCCACTCTGTATAGCTCCCCATAAACTGCAAACAGAAACAGCCACTGACTGCACCCTCAGTATCACTGGACAGACCATCAGCGTCATCGTCGGCGGTGGTGACGACGATGACAACGATGAAGAGAGTCCCTGTTTGTTCCTCGTCCACCGCAAGCTTATCTGCGCCTTCTCGCCCTTCTTCAACGCCGCCTGCCGCGGCCCCTGGAAAGAACACCGCGAAGGCATCGTTACGCTCCCAGAAGAAGACCCCGCAACGTTCGAACTATACGTGAAGTGGCTGTACACAGGCGAGCTCGTGGATTGCAGTAGCCCTACTACCGAGGACGAAGACGCCGACAATACTGCTGATCCGCAGGGGCAAGAAAGAAAAAGAACGGTAGAAGGAGACCCCTTCGCCAATGACCAGTTTAACACCGTCTACACAATCCTAGCATGTGCCTACTTCCTCGGCGATGTGCTGCTGGACCACACGTTCAAAAACGCTGTCATCGACGCGTTGATCAGGCGCGTGAAGCAAACGAACCGCTACCCGTGCGCGATGGCAGCGCTCGTATACGAGAATACGTCGAGCTGGGCATCGCCACTGCGGCGGCTGCTGGTGGATTTCTACGCGTATGCACACAAAAGGGATTGGTTTCTGGGGAGCAACCGGGCGATGGATATGGATAATGGGCCGAGGGAGTTCTTGAGGGATGTGTTGGTGAAGCTGGTGTCGGTTCAGGAGGAGGGGTGCAAGGAATGCCTGCATCCATGGGATTCGGATTTCTGTCAGTATCATGTGCATCCGGATGGTGTTAGGTGCCCCAAGACTTTCCAGGTGAGGAGATAAGTTAATGTATTTTCTGATCTTATTTCGGGGTTGGATTCAGACGGGAAAGTAGTTGGATTCTACGTCCGAGTGTGGAAAGCTACGATATGAGCTAGTTTTAGCATAGGATATCGATGCGTGAATCATATGATGAGCATCCAATAGTTCTCCATGGGATATTGCGATTCAAGTGCCGCTTGTACCAAGCAGAAAGCACTTCAATTTTTCGTAGACGTCGGTTGAGTCGCAGGCCTTGGGCGCGCCTGCCCTCCGCTTGTTGTGACTTCTTAATCCAGCGGGAGCGACCCGACGCACAAGTGCGCCATCCAGCCATTCTCTTCTCAGTCCTTACACAAACTCTCCCTTTCTCTCGGCCGTCATCTTGAGGTTGTTCTTGCACTAATCAGTACCACTGAATGTCGCGGATCGACCCGTCACGCGAAAGACACTGCAACAAGTTCATTTGCCAACAATCCGAGTGGACGGTAACAGCCATTGCAACCAAAGTCGGTGTGCCCTCATGCAAACGAGATCCAACATGGCCACACCGCCGTCCAGCATGCCCGCTGCCGAGCGAAAGCTCACGCGCTCAAGCCTCAAGTACGCCGCCGGCCTTTCCATACCCTGATCCCACCCCCATCTCCAATACGCAGCCAAGACTAACAACGACGCGCGCCCACCAGTTTCCGCAGCTCCGTAATCTCCGTATTCGTTGCCATGAACAGGGTCGAGCCATTCATGCTCCACCGCGACCTCATAACGGCGACGTCCCGACTCTTCCACCAGCACCGCTTCGACTCCGTCGTGCACCTCCCGCACGAAACCCCCGCCCTCTTCGAAGTCTACGCCGAGTGGGTCTACAGCAACCGCAGCAGCGCCATCCTGCAGAACCTGCGTGCGCACGAAGTCGTCCACCGCGCCGACGGCTCGGGCCAGCTGGACCAGCCGGGCGCGGACCACCTGCTCGGATTGGCCATCCTCGGCGAACGGCTGCGGGACGTGACGTTCAAGAACGCGGTGGTGGATGCGTACGTGGATATGCTGATGACGGGGTGCATTTGCCCGACGCATTTCGCGAAGGCGATTTACGAGGGGCTGCCGAGGGGGAACGGGTTCGCGCGGTTGTATGTGGATGTGTGGTGTTGGAATTCGGATGAGAGCTGGTTTGAGGAGCTCGAGGAGAGAGATGATCCGAACAGCGCGCCGGGGGCGTTTTGGCTGGATGTGGTGAAGAGGAGGATCCAGTTGGGAAGGAGGGTGTATGATGCGAGGATAAAGGCGCCGTGGGTCGCTAATCGGGCGCAGTATTATGAGGTGGAGGGGGAGATGGTGCTGGATGATGAGGAGAATGCGGAACAAGCGGTTGGAACGGAAGATGATGATATCGATGTCCTGGTGAAGCCAGAGCCGAAGTCACGTTGAAGAATATGTGGTTTGGGTGAGCATTGCTTATTTTCTTTCCCATGGATTCCTGTGCTTTGTGGGAGGAAATGGAACCCTTATGTTTCGGCGAACACTATTGTAGCCTCAGGAAAGGTGATTGCTGCATATCCAAGGTTGCATGTATTACTGTAGTGCTCTCAATTGATTGGTAAGTAGCCATGAAATACGTGTGACGAACAAAGAAACTTACGACACTATGATTGGTACTTCGTGGCTGGTATTCAGACCTTTTCTCAAGCTGAGGCTCGCTTACTCTTGATTGAGATCTCCTGCTGACGGCTTACACTATGGTCAGCGCTCAGATGCAGAGAATAGGGCGGTTATGTCATTTGCACTTGCTTTGGATAGTCCCGGAGCTCCGGCGATCTCTCTATAGGTCATTTTGTTTTAGTACCCACTGTAGTAGCAAGTGCGTTATGGTCCCTTCCTCATTCACACTTGCCCTCCCCTGGAACATATATTCTCTTCGAACCTTCCCTACCCTCCTCTCCTCTTCTTTTTCACTACTTTCACCACTGCTTTCACAGCATCCGTCTGCTCACCCACTCACTGCGATCGGAAATCACCGAAGCCATGGCGAAAGAGTAAGTCTAAAACCCAAAGCAAAACTATGTAGGACCTCTGCGGATAGCATTGCTCACTTGACTCGTCACAGCAACCCCAAGAAGCAGGCAGCGGCAGCCAACGGAGTGAAGAAGCGCCCTGCCTTCACCTTTGCCAGGTTTGATTCCCTCCGACAAGAATCTTGCAGAAGCATGAGTCTTCGAGTATCTTTCGCAAAGGATACCGCACCGTACCAACGTAGGCAGTTGAAATCTAGATTTTGATGCCCTTGTATGGTCTTGGATCAACATAGGCACTTGAAACTTCACTTCAACTGTCCACGTAGGAAGGTGTGGTACTTCTTGTAAGATACCAAAAGACGAAGTCTTTTAGCTCTGCATGCCCCCATAAGTGTTTCAGCATGACTAACGAGAGCCGATCAAACAGCATCAAGAGTGAGATGATCGAAGTCATTGTCGGCAGCAGCAAGCAAAAGTACTGCATCCACAAGGACATCCTCTGTGCATCTTCGCCTGTCTTTCAGAGGAGGTGCAACCGTGAGGCAAAGGGCACAAAAGCACTTCACATAGAGCTGCTTGATTCCAATCCGACTCACTTTGATGTCTACGTAGAGTGGCTCTACTTCGACCAACTGTTCACGGTAGAGACAGAGAACAATTACAAAGGCATGAACTGGGACATCTTCCTCTCTGTGTATTTGCTAGGCTACAAGCTGCAAGACCAGAAGTTCAAGGACGCCTGCGTGGATATTGCATTCAACAACCCCACTGATCGTGAACTTCTCAAGTTAACGAGCCAGACAAAAGCAATGTACAAGGAGCTTCCACCTTCCGATCAATACCGTCGTCTATTCGTGGAGTTCTGGGCTTACAGTGCGAACGAAAATTGGTTCGCTCCGGCGAATGCCAAGCATTTGCGAGATGCACCAATGGAGTTCTTCCGGGACGTTGCGAAGGCGTCGATCAGGATTACTGACGGTTGTGCGGGTTCATTCGGAGTCAGATACTTCGACCAGTTCAAGCCCAAGCGTTCGGACTTCTGCGACGAATCGAAGGATACAACGAACGAGAACAAAGTCTGAGTCCACTGAGATACATAACCCGGCGTTCGGGAGATACTCAGCAGACAGCTACATGATTTTCCAAAGACGGTTCATTGCACGAGAACGATCAAAAAATTACGGTGGACTTCTCATTCACGGCAGATTTGGGGATTCCAGATTTGGTGGATTCCATTAGGGCTTGAATTTGTGATTGAACAAAGGCTCAGCGAGCAAGAAAAGCAGACTGGTTTACAACTCCGTGGGTCATGCGTTACCAGCATGATCTGGAAAGGCAAGCTCGGGCAAGGGATGAGCTTTGACATCACCCTATTCAAAATACATATATCCTCTCAATATCATATTCATCTTTGCATTCCAATAATGTTCATCGCGGCCTTCTCCGAGTCCTTCTCCTACCCGCACCATCCTCCTTCCCAAAAGTCGCCTCCACATCCTCCGACCTCTTCTTTGCTCTCCTCGCCCTCTGCTTCTTCGCCCTCCTTCCCTTCCTCTCAGCCTCCGCCAACTCCGCCTCCTTGTCCACAACATCCTGCATCACCTTCACCGTGCGCACCAGCTCCCTCTTCTGCGAACCCAGCTGCGCCGATATCATCTTCGCGATCCGCTGCGGCTCGTATGTCCACGACGCCTCATCCCCCTCCCCCTCCCCATCCCTCACCACATCGCCCCCCCTCCTCCCCCTCTTCCTCCCAACCCCTTCATCCTCCTCCTCTTCAACCGCCACCCCCACCAACCTATCCCACACGTCCTCGCCCACCCCCCACGCCATCCACTCCGTCTCCGCCTCCCGCCGCACGTTCAGCCGCCGCTGCCGCTGCTTGACCTTGTCCGTCAGCACGCGCGACAGGCTGCGCGGCTGCGGCTTGCGGTACCGCAGCATCGGGAACAGGTTGGCCGACACGATGCGCGGCACGCGGCGGACGCCCGTGCCGCCGAGCGCCGAGGCGGGCAGCGGCCGCCGCGCGAGCAGGCGCCGCGCCGGCGGCGGGCAGGCTTCCGGGGAGGGGTCGAGGCGCCGCGGGCCGCGCGGGGGTGGGGGGAAGCGGAGGAGGTGGGGCGGTGCGAGGGGGAGGAGGGTTTGGAGGAGGTGGTGGGAGGTTGGGGTGGGTGGTGGAGGGGATGTGGGGGTGGTGGTCGTGGTGGTGGTCGGTGTTGTCGATGATGCTCGGTCTAGGATGTCGAGGAGCTCGTAGCCGGCTGTGAAGCTTAGCTTTAGGTGCTTCGCTGAGTGGACGTGTCGGTTGCGTCGGAATTTGTTGCGGATGACGTTGCGGAGTGCGGCGCGCTGGTTGTCAGCCAGCGGGAGGGAGGGGGATGCTTTCGGCGAGCATTGCGTGAGGAGGGCGCGATAGAGCGCGATCGCTGCCGAATGTTAGGTTGAGCGCTTGCGCGGAAAAAGGGAGTTGGTTGGGATTGAGAGAGGGGAGAGAGACGCTTACCAGCTACGCGATGTGCTCCGGAGCGCGCGGGAACCACAAACGCCGACATGCATGTATTGGCTAGGCCATGGGCTTGTCTTGGAGTTTCGCTGGTAGATAGGTGGAGGTCGGAGATTTTGGTCCGGTTCGGAATCGCGCGGTCACGTGGCTATGAGGTCATATGTCTTACGGCCCCCAGGGCAATCAAATTTATTGCAATCCTTTCGCCGAAGGATGTGTGAACAACACAAGGTCTACTTCATGACCACACGGCATCAAAAGTCAGTGGTGGTCAATTGTTTGATTTGATAAGCACCCACGCCTGGGATCAAGCACCGAAAGCCCATACTGTGATGTAACTGAATTTCCACCACATTTCGTTGCACATTCTCCGTCAAGCCCCAAAACTCCACGCCCATGCAGTGGGTTCATTCATGAAAGACATTGAAGAGTTTCCGGCAGCCGCACTGAACCAGAGCAATCACCTCTTCCAAGTGTAAAACGCGCCGTCTCGCAGCCCCGTTCCAACATGATGACGCCTGTGCTGTGCATCGCTTCGGACCATGTAGTAGCACCCTTCTAGTAGCTAGTGCCCTCCGGGGGCTGGGGCAGCTTCTTGTGCTGCGGTAGAGCCATGTACCTAACACGTTATTCTTAGCAGGCGCTCAGAGCCAACGTGACGATCGAAGCGCTTACCTCCTCAGCTCGATAAGAATGGTCTCCATGGTAAAGTCCCGCTTCCACTGCATCAAGCAAGGGAGCTTGGACGGATCGACCTGTTGTCATGTTCCCTTTAGCCGGGTTGTCTCCTCGCGGTAAGGCATGGTGTGCGCGTACCTTGCCGTTACTCTGGTTCACGCAGGGCACGTTGATCTTGGACACGAAGGTCACCTCGGGCGGGACGTCGGGGTACTGCTCGCCGCAGTGGATCTTGACGCTATATATGCGATTCTCGTGCACGCTCTGTGGAGTTTTGGTAACTTAGCTCGCAGCAACAAACGGGGGGAGCAGGGCTGCGACGGCGGAGGGGACGCACGTGGGGAGGACCGAGAATGGTGCCGTTCCAGTTGGACATGAGCAGGTCGTCGCCGTTCTCCAGACCGTAGGAGCAAGCCTCGGCACCAAGACCCTTCTCGCCCTTCTCCAGCTCTTCCAGCAGGCGGAAGTTGCGCGGCACTTTGGCCATGGTGTGCGGCGGGGTAAGGCGGGAACTTGGGAGGTGGAGGAGCTGCGGTCGCTGGAGGCGGAGGGAGGGCGGCGTGGGGTCGGGAGCGATGCGGGGATGAGCGCAAAGATCAGATTTGCGCAGTGGGCAGAGGCAGCGTGGGGCAAGGCCGGTGGATGGGCGGTGATGGAGCTGGTTGGGAGAGAGCCGCAGCCCGCCTGTTAGGGCGGCGGGCAGGCAGCGGGCGGCGAGCAGGGGTCCCGGCTTGGCGCGATCTCGCCGGCGCTTCACGTGTCGCAGCACAACTGAAGCCACGCAAGCACACCTCACAACCTCTCAATGCCGCCAGTCTGCCAAACGAGGCCATGACCGCCCAGATCCTGTCCGGCGAGCTGGCCAATCTCGTCAACGAGTCCAAGAGGAAAAACCCCGACCTGCGCAGTGTCCGTTTGCTCTCCGCCCATGGCTGCAACCTGGCCGCTATGCATCCCCGGCTGACCCGAGCTTCTTTGTGCAGGCCGCCGACAAATCGCTGCAGGAACTGCGGTCCCTGCCCTCGACCTCCGAGGCCCAGCTGACTGCCGGTTGGTACTGTCCGGCGCGCGTGTTTGTGCCTGCCTGACTGATGCTGGAAGAGACCTGACCCGCCGCACCACCTTCATCGACCCCTTCGTCAAGGCCTGCCAGACCCAAAATGCCAAATTTGCCGGGTCCGCCGTCGTGTGCCTGCAGCGCCTCATTGTCATGCGCGCCGTGCCCCGCGCCAGGTTAAAAGAGGTGCTCGACGGCTTCCGCGACTCCAGCCAATTGAGTAACTATTTTGGGAACCGTGATGTCCGCTGCCAAGCCCGGTGCTAATGATGCTCCAGGTCTGGACATCCAGCTCAAGATCCTGCAAGCGCTGCCCGCACTCATCCAGAACTACTCCGATGATGTCCGCGGTGAGCTGCTGTCGAGTGTGTTGCAGGTGTGCTCGACTTTGCAGACTGCGAAAAATCCCGTTGCAAGCGCCACTGCTGCCGCCACCTTGCAGCAGCTTGTCATTTCGACGTTTGAAAAGGTCGTCGTTGAAGACGGTACGATGGCTTGCTCCTGCTCCCCAACAGCGGCGCTACTAACGTCGTAATCCCAGAGAAACAACTACAGATCCCAACCGTGACAGAGGTTCCTGGAGATGACGGCAACATCTCCGTGCGACCTTCCGCCAATGACGCTTACAAGGTACGCAGTCACTCTATGGCACCTTTGCTTGCTTTCCCAACACCCTATAGGTCTTCCGCGATATTTGCCTCTTGATTGAAGGCGCCAAGCCGCAGTCGATTCGCTTCTCGGCAATCTCACAGGCCTCTGGACTCGAACTGGTTGAAGCAGTCTTGAGCAATCATGGTAGCCTCTTCCTGTCGCATGCCGAGCAATCTTACATTCTCCGTACACATATCATGCCGCTCGTCATCAAGAGTCTTTCCGAACGTCTGAGCTTTTCAATTACTCTTCGGATCATGCGAATCTTCAACCTGATCATCAGACAACATTTGGCCATAGTGCCCTCGGAATGCGAAATGGCATTGGGCCTGTTGAATCATATGCTTGATCCCGATGCCGCAGCCCCGTGGAAGCGCGCCATGTGCATGGAGGTCTTCCGAAATGTCTACTCGGATCCCGCTCTGATCATCCAGATTTATGCCCAGTACGATTCCCAGGAGGGCAAGAAGCCGGTAATTCGAGACAATCTCGCCGTCTTCGTCCGCCTCTCGACGGAGAAGCCGACCGTCATTGGCCTTGGCCAGCACTCCACCGCTCCGGTAAATGCACCGCCTGAAGAAGACGTCTTACCCGACGCTCAGGTTGCGCTGGAAGCTGGCGCTGTTGGCATCATCGGCGGGGCACCAAGCACATCGAGTGTACCCGGAATTAGTACCCAGTGGAGCACCATGCGCATCCCCTGCATGGATCATCTGGACAAACAGGAGCCACCCGCTTTGCCCGAGACTTACATCTACAGCCTGGTCTTGAGCTGTATCAATAACTTCTCCGAGAGTCTCGCCAAGTTCATTCTTCCTCTGACTGTACACAAGGAAGGCCGTAAGAAGAAGGCGAAAGGTGATGCAGCCGCAAACCAGGAACCTCCTGGCACGCCTGTCGAGGAGAAGCCCAAAAGCAGGATGGCTAGATCGCAGTCGTTCAGACGACGGACAGTCCCCGTTAATCCGCTAGAGCTGAAGAACAATCCGGCTGAGGAAGCCATCAAAATGACTGCAGAGGCTATCAATGAATGTTGGCCAGCCGTGCTTGCTACGTGCTCGACTTTCCTCAACGCTGCCCTTGACAACGATTATTACCATGACCTGGTACGGTCAATTCAGAAGTTCACCCAGATTGCTGGGCTTCTGCGTCTCTCTACGCCTCGAGATGCGTTTCTCACAACGCTCGGGAAAGCAGCCGTTCCACCGACCGTCTTCACGGCGACCATCTCGAACCCCAAGGCGTCAGGTGCCGAGACGCCAACGATGTACAATAACAAGGGAGGGTTGTTGAGTGTGGACAGCCTTGTGAATCAGGGATCTGATAAGAGCAGGCGAACATCAATAGAGTCAGGGCCGCCAACTCTTAGCACGCGGAATCTGCTGTGTCTGAGAGCACTCCTGAATTTGGCAATTGCGCTGGGTCCGACGCTAGAGTCAGCCTGGTCGATTGTGTTCGAGACCTTGCAGCAAGCAGACATGATCATGGCAGTAGCCAACTCCACGAGTAGCGGCCGGGACCGCAGAGGAAACCGCTATGATGGAGTTGCCATAGCGCAGATCATGGGCCCGGAAGTTGCTGCTGTACAATCTGCAGCAACACGATTGTTTGAGAGCACTGTGGACTTCCCGAACGAGTCCTTCGTTCTAGTGCTGACTTCGCTATGCACACTACTTGAAGGCAAACCCAGTCGTGCAAGCGTCAGCCAGGGGCCATCAACGCCGAACCTTGGGGAAAGGAAGGCAAGCAATTTCGGCATCAACATCAAGACTGAGCTTCATGTTCAGGATTACGTCTTCGCATTGAGAAAACTTGGCGACCTCGGCACGCTCAATGCTAATCGGCTCATCAGCTTCGACCCAGACGTCAGCGGTTGGTCATTGTTGATCAAGGCACTGGTGTCTGTTGCGAGCAATCCAGCTATCACCAGCTCCGTACGCCTTCTCGCAGCAGATGTGCTAAGCGGTCTAGTCCAGGATGTTGCCAAGGAAACCCAGGCGGAAGACCAACCACTAAAGAACGAGATACATGCTAGGGTCCTTTCAGCGCTTCAAGTGGTGGTGGACTCTCTTTATGATGGCGCCAGCGATCCCGAGGACGAGCTTGATGAAACCGATATCGAAGTCCATGTAGTCGTTCTTGATGCCCTCAAGAGCATCCTGGAACAGTGCGGTGACTCACTCCAAGTGGGCTGGAATCTTGTTTTCCTGCTTGCTCGGAGCGTGTTTGTTGGCTTTGGTACTAAGATGCAAGATGGCAAGCCGAATGAAGACTCTCTAGGCGGGACTATCGCCTTGAAGTCATCGGAGATGATTGCTACAAATTTGGGAAGACTGGCCTTCAGTTCTGTGCAACTGGTCTGCTCCGATTTCCTGACTTCGATCCCTGACGATGCAATATTTCTGCTCTTGGATCTGCTCTACTTCTTCTGCGATCAAGGGGAAGATCTGAACATCTCTCTGACTGTAAACTTGTCCCTTCCAAATCCAAAAGAAGCGCGCTGACTTTTGTATCAGACCATCACTTTCTTTTGGAACGTTTCGGACTATCTCCACGGCCGTACAGACGCAACAGCCATGGAAGAGCTTGCAACCAAGTCGATCGATGTTGCTAACCCTGAAGAGCAAATCCAGGAAGGTGTAAAAACGCAGTCCATTCCGGCAATGTGGCTGCATCTGCTGGAACGCATTGCTACCATTGCACACGATCGCAGAGCAGATGTCAGAAATGGAACCCTTCATACTCTTCTCCGCATTTTCGACAACTATGGAGACCAACTCTCACCTGCGTCATGGAATCTTTGTCTGCGGGTGATCATGTTCCGTCTGCTGGATTTCGACATCAGACAACATCAGGCCTTCCGCTCCACCAACGCAGACCCCGAAGAGGCGCATGCTTGGGTGGAGACAAGTCACATTATTCTCAATGGTCTTGTCAAGCTATTTAGCGCCTATCCGGAAAGCATCCTTGGCGCGCCTCGATTCTCATCGCTTTGGGAGTCCATGTTGGATTACTTTCAGCAATATCTGGATTGTGGATCACAAGCTGTCAATGCAGTCACGTACGATGCCATCTCTGGCCTGTTGAGCAAGCTCGAGTCTACCAAATCCATTGATGAAGGCGCAATCCAGAAAGCGTCCAAGATCTGGCTCGAAGGGTCGCCCAGGAGCAAGGAGGACTACCCGTCGAATATCGGCAATCATGAAGCCTACCTTGCCTATGTGCGCTGCTTCCGAGAGTTTTACCGCCTCATTGGCAAGGAGCTGGATTCAGATGCCCTTTCCAAGGTTGCATCAAACCTTCAGAGCTGTATTGTCACCGAAGAGGGTACGGCATACACGTCGGACAGGGACATCTTGACTCCTTTGCAGAAAGCGGTTCTTGAGGGTATTAAGGTCATCAAGACAGACTTTGAGGGCGCACCAACAATCGTTGTGAAGCTCCTCGCCGACTTCGCTGCCTTGCCTTTTGGTAGGCCTCCTCCAATCGGAACACGGGACGGTAACACCTTTGTCGCCATCAGCAAGGCGTCCATGGATCACATCCAAAAACTCGTAAAAGACCACATCAAGGGCACAGAACTTTATGCCAATGGCGCGCTACTTGCTGCTTTCCAAAGTCTCGTGGTTCCAATCCGTCTGAAATACGAGTGGAAGGTCCAAGGCAAAGCCCCAAGCATATGGCAGAAAGCAACCACAACATCACTGAACATCCTGGGTCCCATCCTCGCCAATGCGCGGAGTCTATCTATCAACCACGACCAAATGGCCCCCATCTGGCAGGAGATCGTCGCCATCGCAAGCGGCATCGCTTGCGCCGACCCTGCGGCAGCACCCTCGCCCAGCGTCATCCTCGAAGACGAGGCCTTCGACATCAAATCCCTGACCTCCCTCCGCGACATCATCACACCGGGCCTCGGCGCCTCGTACATCCCGGACCCGACCCGCCGCGCCTACACATCCACTCTCTTCCGCAACTCCCTCATCCACCCTCCCTCCATCGAGGAGATCCCACCGGACTTCTCCTCGTCGCCGCCCCTCGCCTCCCTCTACGCCATGCGCCACGGCCGCACGCGCGACCCGCCGCCCACGCCTCGCGCGCGCATGTCGTATTTCTGCCTGCGCGAGCTCCTCTCGCTCGTCCGCCGCACCGAACACAGCACCACCACCACCACCTCTTCTTCTTCAGAAAAGGAAGAAGAAGAAGGCGAACGCGAACGCGAACGCGAACGCGAACGCCACGGCCAGCGCATCGCCCTCGCCCGCGCCGCGGCCCCCTACCTCATCCTCCGCGCCGCGCTGCCCATCAAGGCGTACGTCGCCGACCGCCCGCTGCGCGGCCGCATGCCGCAGCCGCACAGCCAGCGCGAGGAGCTGCTGTTCGTGCTGCGCGAGCTGCGCCAGCTCGAGTGCGAGCCCGACGCCATTCCTGCTACGAGTGAGGTCGCTGTTGTCCGGGGGGGTGCGGAGGAGGAGGAGGAGGAGGAGAGTACGAGGAGGAGGCATTTGCAGCGGTTGTATCCGCTTGTCGTTGGGGCGGTGGGGGTGGCGGGGAGGTGCTCGGGTGGTGGGGGTGGTGGGGGTGACGGGGAGGTCGTGGAGGCGTTGGAGGGGGTGTTGGAGGGCGTGGGGGTGGGGGTGTTTGGGGGTTGAGTTCGTCTGGATGGAAGGACTGGGCTGGGTTTGAGAGGAGAGGGGACGAGGTTTGGGAGGGGAGGGGAAAGATGTGGCTAGAAATGTGGAACGGGGGGAGTTAGTCGGTTGTGGTTGCTTGAGAGGTGGACGGGGACTAATGGTGGTGGTTGTATGAGGAAGTGAGTGGGCGGTTGGGGGTAGAGAGGAATAAAAATCTCCTTTTTTGCTTTGTGTTTGCCTGGACTGATCGGATAGGTACTGCACTGTGAGCGGTGCGATGCCATCAGTCCCATCACGCAGAGTATACGACATGGGGCGGTGGGTGACCATGAGCCGGCGCGCGGGGGTCCTCTATTGAGGCGCCTATTGAGGGTAGGTCTCCCCCGCGCGAAATCAAAACTCACGTCGGGTGGACTTTACTACGTACTCTGCGATGGGTGACCATGTCCCGCCCAACGACGCCATCAGCACCGTCGAGTATAATCCGTGCCATGGTGGGTGACCATGAGTGGGCGCGCGGGGGGAATCTTATTGAGGGTAGGTCTCCCCCGCGCGAAATCAGCACTCCCGTCAGGCGTGGTTTTCAGCCCCGGTGGGCGACCCCTGCCAGCGGCAGGTATCAGCCCCGGCGAGTATATGGCTTACGCCTCAGTGAGTGGCCATGAGCGGCGCGCGGGGGGCTTTCTTATTGACGGTTATTGAGGGCAGTCGCCCCCCGCGCGCCGGTTGACTGGGCGAACGTGTGTACTGGCAGTCGACAGGTGGAAGACGGGGACGGGAGTCCTCCCCGACTTCCATGGACTGCTTTCTCTATGGAGGTGGTCTGGGTTTTGGGAGTTACTGGCATGCTGGCTCGGTGTTGGACTCACATTCTACGCACATGTATCAGCCCGGCACACACACATCTCGTTTTCATCATCCATTTATCTCTTCGTTCAACGCCAGCTTTGCAGCGAGGGGTATAAAATATAATCATCGACATCACGTCACTCTAGCCACCACCATCTCCTCTCACATCCCCCCCATTTCGTCATCCTCGTCCTCTCTTCCGCCGACGCCACTGGCCCCCTCTCCTCCACCACCACCTTCTTCCTCCTCACCGATGATCTGCTGTTGCAAAACGATGCTATACACACTAGCCTTGAGTAATGTAAAGACTAGGCTCGTCTTGCGCTCGAGGCCGCGCAGGGCGTCGAGGATGTCGGCAGAGGGGTTGGCCGAGAGAGTGTTGAGGAGGGCGGCGAGCTGTTGGAAACAGCCGTGTCAGCAAGGTAATATATTCACGAGGGAGGGAGCGAGCAAGCGAGAGAGAGAGAAGGGAGGGGGGAAAAGAGGGAAAAGAAAAAGACAACGCACATCGCCCAAATTTCCCGCCAACCTCGCATATTCATCCAACACCTCCTGCTCCAACGGCGTCAATGTCTCCGGACCAGGCGACGTGCTGCCACCGCCTTGCGAAGCCGTGCTCGTTGAGAAATCCGGGGTGGCCATCGTTTACTGTATTTCCCGTTCTGGTACTTTTCTTCTTTTCTCTCGATCTGCCTTGTGCCTTTTCCCCTTCTTGTTTTTTTGTTTGCTACCCCAGTGACGGGACAACTTCTTTCCCCGCTCGCCCTCCTGCACGATTATTATCCCTAACAATACCACTTCGTTTGCCCCGTCAACGCGTGCGCTCCCGTACCAACTCTTAGAGGTGGTGCTGACTCTGAGTCGAATTGCGTTCGCCGCTGGATCGGGCGATAGCGGTGACAGTGTTGTTTGCGCGTAGTTTACGGTGCGTGAGCCGGGGAGGTGGTGGAAACTGAGAGAGTTGACCAAAAGTCGTTTGTGTTCCCGCTGTTCGTTTGTTCACCGTGCGCGGAGGGAGGTGCGTGGACTAGTTGGCAAGTCTAGCTAGCGCGCAGGCGCGATCGTGGTTGCCTTTCGGGTGCGAAGGAATGTCGTTGTCGCCGTCGTTCAACAGCTGGTGCGGGTGGGCAGAGTCGAATGGAACGCGCGCGCGTGTCTCAGCGTAGATATCGGGGGACAGAGAGAGACCGTCCCTCTATAATGCGTGTCCTTTTCCTGCGCTAGCGGAGCTGCGTTGCGCGGAAGCAAATGACGGGCGGTGGTGTGGTGTAGCTGGTGATGTAGTTGGGCGGCGGGCGGTTGCGGTTGCAATTGTTTATCTCCGGTTGATAACGATAAGCGACAGCAAACAGACAGATCGATCATCCCCACCAAGCCTTGTCCTCCTCTTCCCCGCCATTGCTCACTTAGCCTAGTAGGGTAGGTAGGGCCAAACGCAACACGGCAAGGCTGAAAAGGTAACCGCATTCCTACTTACCCCGCATGACAAGCAGACAGGGTAGGCAGACCAGGGCTTGCTAGTAACCGCCAGCCACAGCGCATAAGTGACATGCAGCTTACGGAGTACATCCGTACCACCTGCCCGTATGAGCGATAGTCACAATCGACCTTGCTTGACTCAACGGCGCGGGGTTGCATGAAAAAAAAATCAAGCCCCGCCGAGCCAAGACAAGGTTCATGCGTTAAATGTCGAAATGCATGTTGTGGTAGCACGTGCATAGCAAGATATCGTCATTGTGAAGAAGATGAACCTGGAAACAAGGGCAACAGGATCACAGAGGAACCCGCTTACCAAGTTACCAATCCACTCGTCTACACCTCTTCCCCTCCAGCCTGGAGAAAAACAACCACATGTACAAAGAGGAAACCAAACCGCCCTCACCTCTCACTTCGCTTTACTTCGCTACAATGCTTCGCTTTAAGACTTCACTACATACCTACATGCATGCATGCCACGCTCTTTCTGTAGAAAACCTTGCATACTCACTTGCCTCCACTTTCTTTCTTCTCGTCCCTTTTTTTTCCTGCTTTAGCATCACCCCCATATTGAACAACGATAACAATCAACCAATGCATCAACAATTAAAGAAAATAAACGAAATCGCACATACTCCATTGTCACACTCCGCAATTTCCATGAGAGAAAAAAGTCTTGATCAAACCATCACCTTTCTTTAAAAACACATAAAACAAGAACCTACTCCCACCACACACATGCGTGTCCGACGAATGATATCTCCGTCGAAGGTGGTTGGTGAGGTTACGTACTTCTAAAGATCCTTTTTTCTTTCTTCCTCCTCCTTCTTCCTCCTTTTTCCCTCCACACTTCCCCTTTCCATCCTTCCTTCCTCCCGTGTGAAAAAGGGCTGTGTGCAGACTGTTTGTGTCTGCGTCTGAATGCTCAAAAAAAAAGAAACACGAAAAAGCACAAGCTTGATTCCCCCAAAACTTTGCTGCCGAACTCCCTGAGCCCCCCAATGATGATGATGAAGACAGGATAGAGAGAGAGAAAACGCATGCGAATGCGACAACGCGTAACCGCACACGTAGAACAGAGGCGTAAGAGAGAGTGGGTGGAAATAAAAAAACAGGACGTAAAAACCACATCATCGTCTAATCCGGTCCCAGGACGGGATGAGAAAACGAGAAGAGAGAGAAAGCGTGCAGAGGAAGAGTCCCAATCATCGCATCGATCCATGCCATTCCCATTCCTTCGCCTCCACCATGTTCGGCCTTGAAACCCTTTGACCCACCATCACTACCTCGATTCTTGCGTCGCTGCCGGGCTCATGTCGTGACCGCCACTATATTCATCACCATCATGATGTAATGTGACGCTGTTGAACTCCTCGAACGGATCGACCGCCTTCTCCGATCCAGGCGTTGCTAGTCCGGAATCCAGCGGCACGCCCTTGACCTTGGCCGCGCCAATATCTATACTCTGGCTCTCCTTGACGTTCCGGAAGTTGATCGTTTCGATTCCACGGCCCTGGTTGGGCACCATCGGAGGCTTCATGTGCCTCAGGAGGGCCCACTGTGTTGTCCTGAAGAAGGGGTGCGCCTTGACGTCTGACGCGCCAGCGCGTGAGCCGAGGCGGCGCATCTCATCCTTGATAAGAAGCTTGCGAATGAGGGATTTGCAAAGGCTGCAATGCAGATCAGTATGACAGATCACACAGGGGAAAGCACGTGAACCTACTTGGAGATTTGGGGTGCCCCGCTACCCTCAGGGAACGGCACATCATCGCGCAGAATGTTAGCGAAGGTTGCGTTCCGGTTCTTGCCCTTGAAAGGCGTCGTGCCGTAAAGCATCTCGTAGACCAGGATCCCGAGTGTCCACCAGTCAACTGCGCTAGTGTGACCACATCCCTTGATAACCTCCGGCGCGATATACTCTTCGGTACCAACAAAGGAATTTGTCCGGAAGTTGGCAATGCAGGACTTGGTGTCAATAGCAGGTAGCGAACCCGACGACGAGCCCTTGTTGTTGCCGAGAATCATGGTCGGCCTTCCACCGGGGTCGGACTGCTTCGAAAGATCGAAGTCTGACAACATGATGTGTCCCGACTGGTGCAAAAGGATGTCTACCCACGTCAGAATGAACAATTAGTAGGACAGCATTTTCACTCACTCTCCGGCTTCAGATCACGGTAGATGAAGCCCATGAGATGCAAGTACTCCAGCGCGGCCGTAACCTCCGCGGCGTAGAATCTCGCAGCATCCTCATCGACACACTTGTTGGGTCGGGTTTGAAGTGCTGTAAACCAGTCAGAGAGTTTCACACACCTCGAGTTCAGTCGACGTACCTCTGAAGAACTCGCCGCCCATGCAGTATTCCATGCAGAGGTAGAGATGGTCCTCAGACTGGAAGGAGTGGTAAAGAGTAACAATGAACGGGTGGTTGCTGGTAGCCAGGATCTCCTGCTCAGCCAGGGCACGCTTGATCTTATTCCGCTTAATCATCTCCTTCTTGCTCAAGACTGCATCACGTCAGCAACCGCGCTCAAGTCATGGGACCCAAGGGGGAAAAAAAAAAGTACGAACCCTTCATGGCGTACAATCTGCCCGATTTCTTCTCCCGGACCAGGTAGACCTTTCCAACATCGCCCTTGCCGATCAACTTGATCTTGTCGAAACTGCCGGGGCCGACCTCGACGTTGCGCACCTTGATGGAATTCGAGCTGTATGTTCTCCTGAAGGCCAAGCTGTTACGAATCTGGCCAGGGGACGGCAGGCTGCCGGGACCGCCATCACCAGACGGGATGGCGAGATGAGCGCCGTCGGCAGTCTCGACCATGCTCAGGGTCGAGCTGTTGCCGTGCTGGACCAGCGGCTCCTTGCCCAGCTCGGCGGTCTGGGGTCGGTCGCCGTGGGTGCCGTTGGAGAAAAGACCCTGGGCGTTTGGCGCCGAGGCGACGCGGCGCAGCTTGCGGGCGAGCTCCTCCTTGCCTGCGGTGGTGGCCTTGTCGCTGGGGCCGTCGACGTCTTCGACCGTGGTGGTTGGCATGGGAGGAGTGTCGGGCGGCGAAGGGGGCACGCTGCCTTCGTTGTGGTGGCGGAGCGCGGGCGGACCCTGGTGCTGGAAGTAGGGGTTCGCCTGGGCGGTGGGCGACATGCCCTCGTCGAGCGGGTTGCCTTCGCTGGCGACGGTGGTGCTGCGGTTGCGGTTCAGGTGCGGGATGAAGCGCGACTGGCGGAAGGTGGATTTGCCGTCGCGCTCCTTAGTGGAGCCGCCATCGCCGCTGTGCTTGCCGCCATCGAGGCTGTCCTTGCTGCCGCCGGTGTTGATGCGGAAGAAGTTCTTGATCTTCTGCGAGACCTGGCTGTTGTTGCCATTGACCTGCTTGTTGGTGGAGACGGGCATGCCGGTGAAGGCGCGCTTCGAGTCCTGGGGGGCGGTCGAATGGCCGGACGAGCTGAAGAGCTGCGTCATGGCGTGTTGAGCGGCGCGGGGGCCGGGGCGGGCTGGGAGGGAGAGGGTTGGGCAAAGCGCGTGGTGGAGGGACAGTTGGAGAAGGAGTCAGTCAATGGGCCGGCGGAGCGAGCCAGCTCACTGAGCCATGTCTCGCGGGGGGCGCGGGCTCGGGATCGGCGCAGGTGGTGTGGTTGGGACGGAGGCCGGGGCGCTGCAGAGGCAACGCGCGAGATTGCTTTGGCGGAGCGGTGGTAGTGCGGTAGAGCGAGCAACGGGCGGAGGTGGAATGCAGTCGGCAGGCACTTGATCGGCCAGCGAGGTGGGGATAAGAGGGCGAGCTTGGCGGCTGCCCACCACTGCCCGCCTGGCCGGCCAAGCGCGGTAGACTGAGGCCTCGCCAGCGGAACATCGTACTCCTGCTGCTCAGCCTCGCGCCGAACGGGCCCCGTTTCGCCGCAACCCGGAGGTGCAAAGCGCAGCGCGGCCGCCGTCGTCACCACGCCCTCGCCGCGCTGTCTGACAACCGCACAATCTGCCCTGCGCCCATCGTCATAGCAGCGCCGGCTTTCATCAGCAGCCCACCGCCAGCCGTCGTCGCGTTGCACCGGCCTGCGGACGGGGCGCGCCGAGGGCACCAGAGCATCTGCCGTAATCAGGGCTGGGGCAGGAGGGGCCGGGGCCTGGGGTGGCCTCAGCCCGTCTCGACCTCCCACGCCCAGCACCGCGAGATTCTGATGCGCAGCGCCGCCGCCGGCCATACGCGCAGCGGACGGCCTAGCTCCGCGCGCGCGCAACGGCATGCTCGGACTGGCGGCTCTCCAGCCTCTGGCACGAGGGTGAAGAGGAGCGCGCTGTTGCGCTGTTGCGGCGTTGCGGCGGCGCCTCGCCTCGCCTCGCCTTGCCCGGAAGGGGGAAGGGCAGTCAAGCGCGATTCGGCGCACGCCATCTCGCATGTCGCGCTTCGCACAGCCTATCGCCGCCGCCAATCCCGCCGTGTCTGCGGCGCGCACCGCCAAAAACCCCAGCCTCTGCAGCCTCTGCTCTCCTGAGCGCGAGAGCACGTCGCGCGCAGAATTACCAAGCACTGCCGGCATCAGCGGGCAGTCAGTGACGGCAGGATGTGACAAGGCAGGATGCGGCGACGCGTCACTCCCGCGAGCCGGCCGTCGACCGTCCAGAGAGCGGCGGCCGAACCACCGCACCCGCTCCAGGCTGGCCTGTCCCTGTTCTATTGGATGATTGGCGGCCAACCTAAACAGCAATAAGAAACGCACCACCGCGCCGCAAGGCACGAAGCTTGCGCCGGGAGAGTCCCCGTCGCTCCCGCACTGCCAACAGAGCAGGCAAGGCGTCTGACTGGCTTGCCTTGCCCGCCCTGCCAAGTCAGTGCAGGAAAACCGCATTCGCTGTTGGGGCGAACGGCCCGGGCCTATCAACGTCAGCGGCCGACGTAGCTTTGAAATCAGAAAACCCCAAAGCATAGATAATCCGCGCGCCGCCTCCGGGGAAGGCGCGGACGCAACCGGGGGCCGGGGCAGTGTGGCATTTGCACCAAACCCCCCTGTCAGCTCGTCTCTGTCTCTCACAGACCGGGGGAAACGTGCTCCAAAACCGGGGCCCTGACACTCAACTACACACATTATTGTCCCTGAACTTCTCTCCCGCCTTTTCGCCCAGGGCCAAATCCGATCAGGGCGCCACGCTGCCCGTTCCTGTCGGATGACCGGCCGTATCTCTTCTTCCATCCTGCACTGCTCCGATTCAGTTCGGGAACGGACGGGGGGCAGCGTGCACGTTTGCTTCTGCGAGACCTACGGAATATCCTCTTACCATCACCAGACGCAAATACCGACGCAAAGACCACCGCACCGCCCTGCTCCGCCGCCGGTATTCTCTCACGGCTGCACGCGCGGAATGTCCGGGGCCAACAGGGCCACTGCTGAACAACCGCAAACAGCCCACCACAACCGCAACTCACTTACTGCTAATAGCGCCCATCCCCTCCATCCATCCATCCAGCCCTGCCCCCGCTCGGCCTGTGGCTGTGTGGCTTTCCTTTTCTTCTTTTTTTTTTCCTTCGGTCCATTTTCTTCCTCCTGCCTCCTCCACTTCCCCCTTGCGCGTGCATATCTTGGATGCCGCCCAGGCGCTAGTGGAGGTAGCGAGTAGCTAGTTAACCAGCCATGCTGCTTAAGAGCCACCCATCGCACCTAAAGACAGAGAGTACCTAGACCCGGCGGAAAACTTTATCCCTTGAATCGGCCCCTCGATCGACGGCGTCTTACAGAGGATGTGGTGCTTCAAAACAACATACGGACGAGCATGATTATTGTCCACGTTCAAGACTCCCAACCTACAAATCCATCCTACTATATTATTACTGCTCATAGACATGCACCTCCACACACATGCGCTTGGCAGCCCGTCTCCTATCAACATAGTGTCACCCCTCGTCCGCATGATTTCTACATCTCCCAACCCGTATCCTGTACCACCCGCTCCGTATACACAATATAACAGCCAGCCAACAAACACGATAGGTAGCGCCACCGCCATCCACGAGTAAGTCCCTAGGTAATTACGTAGGATCTTAGAGGCGGTGCTCAGACCCTCTTCCTGCCTCGCCAAAGTAAAGAAAAGAAAGCAAAAAGGTCAAGGTCCTCAGCTAAGCGAGATTATATCTACGGACGTCCGCCTCGTTTGAACACCTATTACGGCAAGGTCTTCTCAACGGCAGATGGATTTTCTCCGCCTTGTATAGTCATCCGTCGTCTTTTTTGTTTAGCGCCCGCTAGAAAGAAAGGAGAGAGAATAACCGTTTCACATGATCACCACCATGCCATACAGCTTAATGTCTCACAAGTGAAGTGCCTCCTGACCCGCTTCTCCCGTTTCATCAAACGTCGCGGAATGCAGCGGAATGACGTAGTCGAAAAGGGCAAGGAAACACTCACCGCCAAAAGGACAAGGATGCGGAACATCGTGAACAACACACGACCTTCTTCTCTGTAAGCGTGGAAACACACAATTTTCATCCCACTGTGAAGAAGACCTCGTTGGTTCAACTGATTCTCCATGCTATCCGTTTATTCTTTTTGCGATCATTGCTCTAAAGTTATTTCATGAAGTCCAATAACCTGATCTCTCTACCCATATGGAAGCAAAAGAGATATCGCACCGCTAACCGAAGAGGTTGAGAACTATAGAAGTAACAAAGAACCATGTTCATGGAATACCGCTGAAGAACCTTCAAAGCAAGAGAAAAAGTCAAAAACAAAGGGTGCGCGTGCGTCCTTTGAGTCCTCTGATATAAGCAAAAGTCGACAACAACGAGGACAGCAGATTATGCTGCGCCCTTCTGCCATTACTCGCCGAGATGCAAAGAAGTGGATCCGATGAAGTTGACTCCGGAGCAGCCGAAGTCCATGCAAACCTTCACCAGCGACCGCGCTACACGCCAACGCCTACGCGACCTGATCGAATCGCTAAGTCCCATTGGAAGCAGGCAAAGGCCAAAACAAAAGAAAAAGGAAGCCATGTGCTGATCAAAAGAGCATGAGTAATCGAGAAAGGTAATGAATCGGGAAAGCAATCCGTCACGGCATGGCCCGAGCCATGCGCGCAGCCGATGAATGTGCGGCTATGAATTCTAAGGATGAGGAATGCTTTCCGAAGTGATAGGCTCTTGCCGACAGGCCATTCGAACCAGATGCAAATCGTTGTGATGTCGGGGTTTTCTCAGGGCTGAAGCGGGTTCTGCGCCCGGTAGCGGTCAATCTCCCGTTGTTCCTCGTTCCTGATGTCCTCGAACCGCCTCTTCCACATCTCTTTCCAGTTCTTCTTTTCGTCGCGAGACATCTTGCCCGGGTCATCTGCCTCGTAATTCCCTGGCTTCTTATTCTTCCCTCCTTTCTTGCTCTTTCCGGCGCCAGCAGCATTTCCGGCGACCTCTTCGAACTTGTTCTTCATGGCCGCCTTCGATAATTTCTTCGGGGACCCGGTCGAGACTGATGGAGAGTCTATGAACGCTGAGGCTTTGGAAGGAGAAACACGTGCGTTCATCGTCTCTGATGTCTGCGTGTTTCCAGCTTCGTCTTCGCCGTCCCCCGCGCCGTCGTACGAGGTGCGGCTGTGACGTGCCTGTTCGCGCTGGTCACCAAGACAGTTCAGGTTGAAACTGCGATTGAGCTTCTGCTGACCCTGGCTTGCCACGGACTGACCGGAAAAGACTCTAGCGAGCTTGGAAGGAGATTGACTGGAGCGATCAGAGGCCCTCATCTCATCTCCCTCGTTTCCTGAGCGGTGCGTCATAGGCGTCTGTTGTGCCGTCACCATGGAGTCGATCTTTTCAGTGATGGTCTTATCCGTCTCAGCGCTGACTGTCCGGAAAGTAGTCGGAACAGTTGCAGGTCCGACGCCCATGCTGGAAGCAATGCTCCTGTTGGTCCCCATAGACTCAAAGCGAGCAGCGACAGGACGAAAGTCTTGAGAGCTAGATGGAGCGGCCTTCAAGGTTGCGCTAGAGCCTTTGTGCATTGGGGTCGCGGACAGCTGCATGTAGCCTGTTGGAAGCGGCATATTGTCGTCGCGGCGATAGGTGATAGACTCGGGGTGTAGAAAGCTGCTCTGACGCTGTTCGCTGAATTGCCTCTGACGTGGCTGGCACTGTTCTTCCGACACGGGGGACGCACTGCTTTCGCTTGGCTGACGAGAGTTTGACTGCTTCGCTGAAAGCAGTCCCTGCGCCCAGCCTTGCATGTAGTCAACGTCCTCGGTTCCCTGAATAGGCTGCCCAGACAGACCAGCCGAGAATCCAAGTAAGAAAGTGACAGACTTGTTCCTGAAGTCGAGTTGTCCCATAGATGAAGGTGGGGCAACCGAGATCCGGGTTGACTCAGCTCTTGACCATGCACGAACGCCCGTAGACGAGACCTTGTCATCGGTATCCGGCCTGGAAGCGTTCTGTGGGACGCGAAGTTGCGTATTGCGGGCGAAGAAACCTTCCGCCTGGCTCGTACCCAGAGCAGAGTCAGCCCTCACGGATGGACCATCAATGGGTGAGACTTGAGGGGCTCGAAGGAGGTGATGGCCCTCCTCGGGGCTCGTGAAGACATTGGTCCAGGGAAGCTGCGTTCTGTCGGGAGTGACCTGTCGAGCTTGCATGTTCTTCCTGACATTGTAGCTGGCCGAGGAATGCTCTTGTGGATTGTTCGGGAAAAAGTCAGCCGTGTTGATGCTGGATGCACTTGGCCGGTGTGCAGAAGACGTGACCGAGTGCTCGGGGCTGATCCTGGTGGTACTGCCATTCTTCTTGTCTTCCGCATTATTAGAGCAAAGCCAAGGGAAGTGAGCTGCGAAAGTCGCATCCCGGTATGGAGAAGCAATCGGTGAAGGCGACGGTGGCACAAAAACAAGCGACGAATCTTCGTGGCTCGCCTCCGACTTCGACTTCTTCTGAGGAGTGTATGCTGGGCTTGTGGGATCCAGTGCAGACCTTTTGCTTGTGACTTTCTGCTCAGATGACTTGTTCGGATCCTTGATCTCCAGTGCATGCGAACGACGAGGAGCGTGAGCTGCTGGCTTCGTCTGCTGTTCCTGCTTGTCACCTTCCTCCTGGGTATCCTTCTTGGCTGCCTTGTCCGCGGCAGGGACAATGCCTTCGCCCTCCGGAGTGGTCGATGTGCCATCAAGGGAAGTGAAGCCTTGGAACGGTACCACGTTGGGAAACATATATGGAGGAGGAAATTGGCTTCCAGGGGCGAAGGGAATAAAGCCGGCGGGCCCGTTGGAGAAAATGTAAGGATTCAAAGCAGGCTGCTGTCCGACTTGAGTGGCGACAAAACCTGAAGGCTGCGGAATTGCGGGTCTCTGCTGCTCGGAAGAACCAGAGCCGGAGGAGTCACCAGACTCCAGACGCTTGATATCCTTCCGGATTCGGTCGGATTCGTTGACCATCTGGACCTTTTGTTCTACCATGCTCTGACGCTCCTCAGCAGTCAGATTGCCCTCGCGGATCACCATCTCTCTCTCCAGGTTCCTCTGATCAGTATGTAGCTTTTCCAGCATCTTGCGTAGCTCAACAGTATCTGCCTTCGCAGTGCTATTGTTGGTGCTGTTGGTAGCCGGCGTAGGTACGTTGAAGGACTTTGTCGGAGCCTGAGCAAATGCAAATTGTGGGCCAGGGAAGAAGAGAGGCATGAAGCCAGAGTTGTACCCATGAGCATAAGCCGGAATGGTAGTGTTCACAGCAGTGTTGGAGCTGTTCGAGCGGCTCATCGGTTCGAAAACGGGCGGAGGAACAGCGTCCGAGGCGCGGCGCAAGTACGGCGGCTGCGAGGTGGTGCGTTGCATTGGAGTGCCACGGGCACCGGCGAAGGTCCATTCGCCCATCTTGCAGCTGTTGCTGTTGACAGGGTACTGAGGGCTTCCCAAGGCTGGCATGTCGTGCGGCACAATGCGACCACCGGCAGTGACGCGGAGTCCAGGAGGGGACCCGTGTTCCTTGATGAGCCTCTGGATCTTGTCGCGCTTGAGTGACGGGGTGGGTGAGGGCTTCTTGGGTCCGTTGAATCCGTTGATGTGAACAGGTCCACCAGCGTTCACATTGCCAGCATTCGGGGCTGACAGAAGAGAGTTTGTCGTCGCTGATGCCGAAGAAGATCTGCCACCATCGAAACGGGCACGAAAGGCTGGAACGGACGCAGAGCCTCGAAGCCCCATGCTCCAGCTTGAGGAAGCAGGACGAAGCACATGTTCTGAGGATACACGAGTTAGCTGTCCGCTGTCACTTGCGCTTCGACTCATGCGCGTGGGCGATTCATCGGGCCTGACGCCGAACTTCTCTTCGTAACGAGCTCGGCGTGCCGCTTGACGCGGTGTCGTGGGTGGGCAGGACATGCTTTAGAAAGAATGCGCGTTGGGGAGCACGAAGTGAGAGGAGGAGCCCAGCTCGTAGCGGGTTGGGGACGGTGTGGAGGAAGGTAGGAATGAAGGATGGACTCGATGTTTGATGGGGATAGGCCTTCGGTAGAAGAGGCAGCACGAGGGAGAAGGAAGTGGCATATGACCAGCTCCTGGACGGCGACAGGCATGTGACGTACCTCTGACAGCCTCCTCATTCGTAAATTTCTCAATCGACACAGCTGACTCCGACACCGAGTCTCGCAGAGCTAACAGCTCTGCGACCTTGGACCTGACTGACATGCCACCCCCGTCGTCCGTGTATCGTTCGATGATCCGGACGGCCGCAGTCGAGACGAACGATGGTTGTGGAACGCCGACGGGAAAGGACAGAGGTGACCAAGCCGGGCAGTCACTGATTGTCGACGCTATGGCGAGTCAGCACACTCCCGGAACGTATACAAGAACGGAGAAGACTCGCCACTGAGATGGAAATCCGCGAAAGTGAGTGCGTATCAATCAACGGTAAAGCAAGTGGATGGCGTGGTGCAAACAAGAGAGCTGCGGTATCCAAGCGTGCAGCAAGCGTGCCGATAGTGGAATGAGAGATTGCCAGCAAGCCGTGTTGGCGAGCGAAGCAAGAGAGTGATGGATGGGGAAAGCTGTGGATGGGTCTGAGTCGTGAAGAAGAGTGCGTGACAGACGAGTGAGATGCGCCTTCTGGCCAGCTCAAGGCTAGGCATAGAAATGGAGGGAAGTCGTGGGCACTGCTGGCTGGACCGGAGAGGAGAAGGAACGAAACATTTCAAAGAGTAGGTAGATTCGCTGGACGGCGCCTCCGCGGACCGCTGCGGCGACGGTTGCGTCAAGCTTTCCCAGCCGGGAAGTCGAGACACGGAAGCAGCCACCCGCCGTATCGCCCCCTACACAGCGACAACGGCATTCGCGCTACAGCCATCGCAGCTCTGCGTGAAATGTCCAGCGTAAAGGAGTTGAGCATCCGGCAGCCCGTCTGTGTCGATACGCTCGATGCCGGCCTCATTGCGATATACAAGCTCGCGGTAGAGATGGTGCAGAAAAGTCGAGCCCCACAACACTTGCTGCATTTGAAATCAGCCCGACAACTCTGCAATTCGAGAACCTCCGGTGGAAGCATGATCTTCCGAAGTCGGCCGGGCTCACTCCCCAGGGTCTGTGGTCACCCCTTCTCGTTTCGGGTGTCCCAAAGGAACGAGCCGCTCGCGGTCCAACGATCTGGAGCTGCGAGATCAGATCTGTTGTTATTGCCATGCTAAGAACTAGTATACTTCCCGAGCCCTGTAATTTAGCCACCCCGGCCCTTCCCCTCATATCGATCGTCAACCATTTTTTACCTCACCAGCAAGAGCAATTCATTCCCACCGTTAACGCCATGTCCCGTTCGCTATGCAGCAACGCCGACGATCGTCCTATCTGGCGACACCTGTTCTGAGACTGCGCTCACACCCTGCTGCTCTCTTCGACCGCTCTATCTCCTCCGCGTGGATCTGGCCGTGGGCGCCGGAGGCTCGAAAGCGTCGTCGTCGTCGGAGATCTCATCGTCAGTCGGCGGCTTCTTCCTGGCGCTCGTGCCCCTTCCAGTTTGGCTCGGCAAGCTGGCCGCGGACTGGGAGAAGTTCAGCTTGCTCTGCCGCGGAGCTGGCTTCGCTGCTGGCGCCTTCTTCTTTGCGGGGCTAGCGGCCCGTTGCGATCGCGCCGGTGTGGTGGTCGTGGATCTGCTGGCTGCCGCTTTCTGTCTGGCGGTTGTCTTCTTGAGCGGCGCTGGCTTTGTGAATAAGGTCTCTGAATCCGATTCTTCTTCGTCGTCCTCACTGTCGTCGTCATCAATCATAATGACGTCGTCGTCATCGTCTTCCTCCTCCTCTTCTTCCTCTTCTTGAACACGCTTTTTGCCGCGACTACTTGTGACAGTAGGCTTCGCGGGTGCCTTCTTCGTTGTTGCACGAGAAGTGGTAGCTGTTGCACGACTGCCACGACCACGTCCCCTGCCGCGCGTGGCAGTGGTCTTGGGCTGAACTGAGCTCGCCCTCGAGTTGCTGTCGTCATCCATTTCATCGCCACGGTCGATGGCTCCGGGTTGATCGGCCCAATCACCATCCAGGTCACTGTCCCAATTGTCCGGCTTAGGCTTCAGCTTCCGCGTCGTCCTCGTTTTCTTTTGGCCCGCGGCAAACATGTCTTCAAGCTTGGCCCGGTACTCGTTCATTGCAGTCGCGATCTCATCTTCGTCCATCTCGTCGGTCTCGAGTAGATGCGACATCTGATCTGCGAGGGCTTCGTTGACGAAAACCTCCATTGCTCTGTTGTCATCCTTGTCGACGAACTGACTAACCGCGTCGCCAAAGGTGTTTGCCGGTAGGATAGTCAAAGTCTGAGCCGAGAGAAACTCCCGCACGAGCTTTCCAACCTTGATATTGTCGGTATTCAGCCGAGAGACTACCGACTCCTCGGGCATGTCTAGTTCCATCTTCTCCTTTCTTCCCGCTTTAGCTTTGTTACGGTAGAATTGTACAACATCGTTGACGTTTGCAACCCTGTCGATGAAACGGTTCGAGAAGCGCTGGGGATTTTCGCAATCGAAATGGCCTCCATCAGGTGCCGTATACTCAACGCGAAGGCGGATTAGTGGTAGTGGAGTTTCTAATGGCTCGTCGTCCTCGTCGGGGTCTTGATCAGCAAGCCATTCCTTATTCGCCTGCTTGATGAGACTCTCGACGATTCCAATCAGGTGTTTAGTGATCGCGGTACGATTACCGTCCTTTTTCGCGACGTCCTTGACAGCCCGCTCCTCCGATAGCACGATCTCCCTCATAACAAAAGGCCGTACCGTCTTTAATTTGATCGGCGTGACCTCAAACCTCTTATCTTCCTTGGTATTAATGCTCAGAATTGCGACATGCTTTCCTACCGCCTCGCCTGGCATCAGCGAAGTCGCAACGGAAGAACCAGGTTGCATGACGTGAAAGCCCGTCACCCCATTCTTGGTTGGCTCAATCTTGCACTCATGCTCATGACCCCACACGACAAGGTCTAGAAAGTCTGGAAGAAAACTTTCAGGCAGATAACCAGTCGCAGTATACGCATTGTGGTTCTGGTGGACGCTCATAAGATTGAACCAGTCATCTTGCTGCGTCCTGGGGCGGAAGAACTTGACGTTGCCATCTCTGAACGTTCGAAACAGACGCTCGTCACGGACGTTGCTCATACCGAAAAGAGCGAGCTTCGTGTGGCCTTTCTGGAGTAGGACAGGTTTGATCCGGATGTTGTCCGACTCTGGCGTACGTCCATAGTAGTTGACCAGACCAGAGACTTGGAGCAAGTCCATGGCCGAGTAGTGGCCTTCCTAGCAATGCGTCAGCGCAAGTCCAAACCCATAATACTTCGGCGTATACGTACTCCCGACGGATCGTCGTGGTTTCCATGGATCGAGAAGACAGGAATTGCAACATTCAAATCTGGATCCTCGTAGTTGACGTGGTTGAACGCTCTGTACCATTGTTATCCCCTGCCGCCCTCTAGTGCGTCATCGCTCGCCCTAAACCCAGGGTCCTACTCACCCTTGAAAGTTCTCGCTCGCGTCGCTTAACATCTCGAGCTGACACGGCTTGTCCCCGAAGCAGCTCATCCGTAAGCTGCGCATGACCTGATACATGCTCTTCCGGCTCGGTTTGTTCTCGTGAAAGAGGTCGCCGCCGTGCAGGACCATGTCGACGTCGTGCTTCTTGGCCAGCATCATGACCTCGTGGAAGGTCTTCCAACTGTCATCGCCGCGGATGGGGTCGCGCTCATTGTACCCAACATGGCTGTCCGTCGCGACCAGGATGCGGATTGTGTCCGGGTCGTCGGGGTTGTTGAGACCTGCACATGGGTTTGTTTGTGAGCTTCCATCTCTAGCTCTTTTTGAAGTCGAGCGTGTACTCAGAGAGATGTAGTTGAGGGAAGGCAGAGGACTCCGAAGGGGCAAAAGGCAGGGTAAGCAGATAGAGGAAAACACGAACCTCGCCTCGAAGCAGGCATCGTGGCGGCGCTCTACACTTTGTCGAAGAGCGGGGTGGAGCTGGCGCAAATGTATGCAAATATGTAGTCGCAAGTATGTGCGGAAAAGGAAAAGTGAACCCCCGAGAGTCTTGTCGCGAGGACAGCGCGGTGTTGAAAGGAATCTCGTGCGTGTCAAGCTTGATCCATGGCAGGCGACGCGCTCACTTTCACGGAAGACGCGTTTGCTGCCTGGTGTGTAGCTCAGTGATCGGCGCCGGGGGTGGGCATGACATCGCGCGGCGGCCGTCGCCGCCGAGCGCGGGCCAGGCTCTCTCTCGAGCCGTCGAACATTTGACCCCAACCCAACCCGCCGCCGCATCCCCACCTCCGCACCCCCTTGCGACCGCCAATCATGCTGCCAACGCGGGCGCTGTTCGCGCGCTCGGTCTGGAAGGGTACGTACATCCGTGTCGTCCATCCCAACTCAATGGCGTAGCTAACACAATTCACAAGGCCCCAACATCGTCCCGTAAGTGTGCCAAAAACACTCTCTCGACCGCCGCGATTCCCGACCAGTGCTTCTCCTTCAGTCCACATGGTCCACCGCGATATGAAAAACACTGCGGCAAAACAAACATCTGACCGGCGAAAAACACGCAGTCTTCCCATCGTATTCGCCAAGCCTGGCGAGCGCGCGCCGCCGCCGATCAAGACGCAGGCGCGCTCCGCCGTCATCCTGCCCAACTTCGTCGGGCTCAAGTTCGCGATCCACAACGGCAAGACCTACACCAATATCCAGATCACCGAGGACATGGTCGGTTACAAGCTGGGCGAATTTGCGGCGTGAGTAGTTCCCTTGTCCGAATGGCTCCGGAGTGCCTTTTGCTGTAGAATGGATGGTTTCCATTACTTCCGAAGTACACACGATGTGGTTGGAGCGTCGTGTAGGAGTATGGGCTCGTCTACTAAGACTAGCTACCCCGCCGGGGAGGATTATGGACGGACAGAAGCTGACATTTAAACGCTTTATGCAGGACGCGGAAGACATTCTCGTACAAGCACTCCAAGAACAAATAAATAAATAAAAAAGGATAGGAAAGCGCTTTTGAGATACCCGCCTGGGGACAGTTTCGCACAATTTCCATTTCCTTCAACATATGGATGGCGTTTTTGATTCACTAAATGCAGAGCACAAGCGCAAGTGCATGTATTATCTTGCTTGTATCATCGGCGAATACCATCAAACCAGTGAATGAGCCCTCTCTTTCCGAGCGGCATAACTTCAGGCGCTTTTCGCTTGCCTGCTATAATAATGATGGCTGCCACGAGCGCCATCAGTATCGATCGACGTCATCCATCCCCTCTCAGATGCGCCATAAAACTCCGTGAACCATGCCATATGCCCCATAACCCGTTGTAAACGATCCGTTCCCGAAACCCCCCC